TAAAAAGAAAATTATTAGTTCTTTCGCCACCACCATCCTTTTTGGTGAAAAGCAGTATGTGTTTCTGCATATAAAGAATAGTTTTAATGCAGTTAAACACCCTTCTTAATTTCATATATTCTACAAAAAAAAAAACATTGAAAAAAATACTCAAAAACTCTTGTAATCTTATCCAAAAAGTAGAAAGCGTTTTGAGTACTTCATTTTTATAAGCAGAAGTGAAACAAGTAATCTAAATCATTAATTCAACAGAGGACTGGTTGTGGTTTGATACAGAACCTATTTTTCCATGGCAAAACACTTAGGAGAAAAAAAAAGAAAGTGTGAAGTCTGACACACGGCAGCTTTGGATACACATTTTTCCCAGGGAATCATTTAATATTTTATGGGCCTTCACATACAAATTACTTGGCAGAATTCATATGAAAATTCACATTAGCTGCACCTGCTTCAGTCACCTTCTATAACACATCACAGAAAATGGCCCCAGAGTTTTGTTGCAAGTATTATACATACTGTGTTCTCCTTTCCTGCCAAAGAGTGCACTATTATCATTTTGTTTACCATAATAAATTGCTTTACATTTTTATTGAAGCCTTCATAATAACCCTGAGGCTATTAAATTTTAGTTGAATATTTTCCACTATATTATCTCTATTCTCATCATTACATGAATACTTCCAATTTAAGAAAGGACTTTTTACGTATAGCTTAAAATATCAGTTTTGTGAAAAACCAGAAAAGCAGTAGAAAGCAGCAGCAATTTGTGATGGCTTTAAGGTAGTTAAAGTAGATAGCAGACATTTACCACAATTTAATATGAAATGAATAACCGATACAGGTTACTTGCAGAATATTTTGTGCTACCTCTGCTACCTCCCTACATAAGGGCTGCAAATCTCATGATACTGAGGGAGATCTCAAACAAGTATTACATCCCTATTAAAAATGTATAGCCACATCAGAGCTGGAACCCTTCCTTCCCTCTCTACCTCACCTGCTAACTGGGCCATTCAGGTTACCACCGTTACTGCCCCATGGGGTCCTCTTCCTTTCAGGTGATACCCAAGTTCAGCCTTCATACTTGTCCAAACGTATCTCCTGCTTCGATCCACCTAGGACCCTAAGCTCATTGCTCCCTCATTCTCTCAATCACGTCTAGTGGGGACAAGGGACAGGGCCTTTGCTGTGGTGGCCCCCCGGTTGTGGAACTCTCTCCCAAATGAAATTAGATCCGCTGCATCCCTCTTGACCTTCCAGAAACAACTAAAATACTGGCTATGGGATCAGGCCTTCATAGATTAGGCTTTTGTAGATTAGGATGACCTGCTGACATGACGACATGTACAGAACTGATTGGCTACCCCTTGGATGATGATTTCAACTGGTGACCGCTGACTGCTTGATTGTTTTTATATTGTTTTATATTGTTTTATACTGTTTCATATTGTTTTATACTGTTTTATACTGTTTTATATTGCTAGGATGATATTGCTGTTAAATTGTATATTTATGTTTTGATGTGGCGCTATGAGGTGCTGATTTGTTAGCAATCCTGAGTCCCTCTGCAGAGGTTGAGAAAGGATGGAATTTAAAAGCCTTAAATAAATAAATTCATCCTGTGCACCTCGATCCATTACTGATGTCTCATCTTTTTATTCACCTTCAATAGTTACCATTTTCTAAATACTACTATGTTTTCTATGTAATATAACCATAAAGAAATTGCCCCTCCCTTCAAACAAAGATAAGGTTTTATTTCAAAATTGGAAAGCTGACAAATATAAATCTCAATGTTAAGAACAATTTTAATGTATTTTACCATCCAGGTGCAGAGTATGATAACTTGTCAAGTCATCTTTATATCTTGATTTAAAATAAAATGTCATGGTATGAAAAGAAGTGACATGAATTAAACTTATATACAATGGAAACATTAGAAAATTAGTAGACTTTTTCAGTTTAATGATGACCTTCAAGCATATTCAATAATAATTAGTTGTTTACTATTTTTTAAAATTAAATCAAACAAAGAACATACTGAGTACATTGTCCTGTAAGTCTGAAAGACTCCTTTTGTCATGTGAAACATGTTCTGAGCCAAATACTTAATAACTTTTTCAGCAATGTTTCACATTTTTGTTCACATCAAATATATTGAATTTTAAATACACTGACTTGAAACATAGATCTGGTTTAATTCCTTGTCCAGTATGAAAGTCATCCTCAAATACATACTGAAATGCTTGGTAAACACCCCACATTTAATTGTTTTAAAATAATTCCTGGAAAAGGACTTTCTTCTTTTTTATGTGGAGAGCCATAGCCTATATTTCCACATGTTCACCTCATACCATTTAATATTAAATTGGAATAATTAATAATATATAGCAGATGGTGACCTTGTTCTTTGAAGGAGCTGGGGGTGGTGACGGCCGACAGGGAGCTCTGGCCTGGGATGGTCCATGAGGTCACGAAGAGTCGGAGACGACTGAACAAATGAACAACAATGACCTTGTTCTATGGACTATAAACAGCTATTGTATTGTAGTTTTGCTTATTTTGCCTGTATCTGGAGGTTCAAATCTATCTGTTGTCACATCAAGTTTGAAATAAAGGAAGTATCACTTTAATTTAGATCAGAGATGTCCATCAGTCTGATCAAATCACTAGAAGAGTAACAAAAATGCATGAAATATCCTTATTTTATGCATGCTCCCTTCATAGCTTTACATAATTGACTGCTTTCACTGGAACACATACTAATCCTGTTTACAGAAACAATGTTAGGCCATATATATATATATATATATATATATATATATATATATATATATATTGTACAACAGGTGAATATTATGTCTTAAAGCACCTCACCTTTGCCCTGTGTCGTGACCCACAGAACACAGAATGTCTTAAACAGCAGTTGAGGTGCAAAATAGTAGTATTTTAATGCAAAACAAACTTAATAAGGCACTTTAAAACTCAGTGCAAACAGTTCAAAGGATGTTTTCAAACAGGAACACAAAACACTAGATAAGCAGGCTTGAATTGCAGCCGAGAAATAACAGGAGATACGATGAACTAGGAGCAGAATACAAAACAAACAGTCTTTAAGGGTTGCAAGGCATGGAGCAAAATCCGGTAGGCAAACGCTTAGTCAGTCAGTTCCAATGGTCATGAAGCCAGATGTACACTCACGAGCGAAGGTTCCAAGGTCCGAGGCACGGCAGGGAAAACAGGATACTGGGAATCCAAAATAAGATTAGGCAGAGAACAACACGAAACAACACCTTGTCGTCTGCAAAGGAATAGGTCCCAGAGTGCTCATTTTATTCACTATCAGAAGAATGAGATTCATTGCTTGCATCTGATTCTGCTCCCGCAGCTGAAGCATCTACACCACGCCAAGCCTGCCACCTTTGCTCTAGTGCCTGATCCTGCCAATCAGTACTCTCATTCCCATTATCCCTAAAACCTTCAAAATCATCACTTGATGTTGCTTGATTGCAAATGTCTCTAATGTTCTGAACCAGAGTCCAGTCTACAGCCTCCTCCAACTCATCCTCACTATCACTGGAGTTATCTGCTGTGTCTCTAAGCCTCTTAGACATAGTGTCACTCTCACTGCCAGAATCACTAGCCACTCTCTTCACTCCCCTGTAATCTGCTTCCATAGCCTCCTCTGGCCTGAATCCTGCAAAGTCTTCTTCATCACTGGGAGCCAGAAAGATGTCACGAATGCGTTTCAGCTGGCACTGATTCTCCTCTGTTTCTGCATCACTCCTTCTTCTTCTCCTACTACTAGTAGTAGGTATGGTGTCAGAATGCTGACTCACAACACCCTGTCTCTCTAGTTTCCAACTGGGAGTTTGTCAACTTGGAGTAATCATAGTTGAGCAGAAATGTTCAACAATTCCTTAAAAAGATGCTAGTAAAGAATTTTTTTTCCACACCAAATCATTTGCATCCACAGAAAAAATAATTAAATCTGTCTTGCATCAACAATTCCGTGTATACATGCAGATGGAGAATTAGGTTCCATCCAACAGAAATTAGTTGTGACTGTTAAAAGAAGTGATTGCAGTCCTCGTTCATTCTAATTTATGTTCAGTTGTCTTTATTGACAGGTTCTTTTAAAATGTGTGGGAATTAGCTAAACATGTTTTATTTTATGTAATTATCTGTGTGCTAAACCCTGAATCTTAAATGCATCAAACTGATAACATCTTCACTCTTCTTGGTCTTATTTTTTTCTCATTTTTTCTCATAATAATATGTTGAGATCAATCATTTATGTTCAAGATAATCATTCTATCACCTTAAAATGACATCTAATCATTGGGACCTAAGCAACAGGTAAATTTCTTGAGATATTGTGAAGGCTTGGTACATTGGATTTTGAATTAGCCAAGATTCTCATATAGATTTCTCACAGGAAGGCAAATCAAGAGAATAAGGAAATAAGTGAAATAGGTATATTCTGCCCATATGCAAGAATCTTAGTATGGCATACAGTAAAATCAAATTGAAGAGTTTAGAAAGATTTTAACAGTCAGAATAATTCAAAAACTAACAACACTGATTCATTTAATATTTAAAACATGGCAGATTCAAAGCTGATATAGAGTTTAAAAATTGCACATTTAGATGAGATAAGAGCATCCATGTTTTTACTTTTCAACAGAATGACAGCAATCTTAGTACCAATTGTTCTTCTTAGAGGAGAGTCCTCATAAGGGGTACCAACATTGCTTTTTAACTTTAAGAACTTAGAATTTCATGTTATCAAAAACCCTTGTATCTAATACTAAAAACATATATCTGTTGTCCCTTCAACTAGAAAGAGTGAACACATGTATACACCTGCACATACTCCTTTTCTGAGTGTTTCAGCCAGTATAAAATCTGATCTAACAGCCTCCTCTTTCTTTCTCTGCATTTATGAGAACACAACTGCTTTCTGACATAAAATATTTGTCTTTTTATTCTCCATGCAGAATTCCCAACTTGTGACCCACTAGTTCATTTTATATGCAAAAATGGAAGATGCATTAGTAGCAAGTGGCATTGCGATTCAGGTAAAAACCAATTATTCAACTCCAGTGGTTGATATTTGCAGATTATCTTTTCTCCTCAACCTCTTGTACTATAGTTCATCCTATTTGGCAAGATCACTTATCTTCAGTAAATGTTTCTTGGAAACTGGTTGACAGCTATTGGCAGGAAGAAGGAAAATTGTCAGAGCACCCTTCTTTGGTATTTTTAAAGGTGAACTAATAATTTGAGAGGAAATACAGGTTCAGCATCTCCTATAAAGAATTCCAACATCCAAAATACTCCAAATTCCAAAATGTTCCACATGGGTGACTGAGATAGTGACACCTTTGTTTTCTGAGAGTGCATTATAGTTTCAGGCTATGTATACAATATGTGTGTGTAGGGGGATTATAAGTTTTAAAAGCTATTTTAAGTGTATTTATTATATCTTAATCTGTTTTTACCTTAATCCACACTGTATTATTTGTTTGTTTCATTTTTGTATTGCACTTTTTAAAACTATGACCAAAATGTGGGATTGTTAGTCATCTTGAGTCCTCAAGGGGAGAATGGTGGGTAATAAATAAAGGAAATATATATGTATGTAAGTAAATAAATAAAATGTATATATGAGCATACATGAATTTTATGTTTAGACTTGGGCCCTATCTCCAAGATACCTCATTATGTCCACAACATGCAAATAGAGGTAGTCCAAAAATTTTAAAAATAAAAGTATCCCAAACAACTTTAACCTTTTATTGATTCTCCAGCTTATTTCATTATCAATAAAATAATGAACAGAACCCCTATCCAGACATTTGATCAGTGAGTTCAATGTGATAAAACATGACCAATCTTCCCTAAATATCAAGAGACCATGGTAGAAAATAATACCAATATTCTATTATATAACAATTAAGTTAAACATGAACTGCCTGAATAATTTACAGCTCCCTAAAATTTGATCACCTGTTATATGTTCGTTCTGTTAGACTAGCCCAACTATTATTTTTTCAGGCAAGCCATCAGTGGCCATGCTTTCACACTGGAGGTTTCTTCCATGTCATTCCTAAGTGGTAGTTGGCTGACTCCAATCAGGCTGCCTCAGTTTCTCTCTTCACAGGGGCTTACATCTGATTAGACATGCAAAAATTAATAGAAATAAAAAGATTAAAAGATTGGGCCACCTTTTGAAATATTCAACTTTGCTTTTGAACAAAAGATTGTTTTATTTATTTACAATGCATCCTTACTCAAAGTAAGCTTTTACTAGTTGTTTTTGTTTTAAAAAATAGTGTTGCAAGAAAGGACACATGCTGATTTTATATTCTTAACTACTATTTCTTTGGAGAGCACTTTAAAACTATGAGGATTTTTTAAAAGTAGGGCTGCTGTCAACAATTCTTCCAACTTTCCTAGGCTTTCATCTTGCAGAAAAGACAGATTGAGAATTTTTGTAGCCCTGTGTGCATGCTGGGAAGGTTGCAAGGCTTTCATTGAGGGGGTGGGTGGGAGGAGGCTTGCTTTTTGACAAAGTGGATATTTTTTTGTTGTTTTCTTTTAGCTTTAAGGAAAGATTGGGGATATTGATATGTAGTGAAGTTGTGTGATTTCCAGTGACCAAAAAAATGGCTTCCTGCGAAAATAAACTCTTCTACTAGAGGGAGAAAAGGAGGAGGGAAAGAGGAGGAGATATAAAATGTCCTATATCAAGCATCACCAAGCAACTGCAAACTGAGCCTTTACAATTTGACACATCTATAATATATATGCACTGACAAACTGGTCTGTATATTAATGATAAAGCAAATCAACTTTTGAACCTAAGATTAGCATTCACAATTCATAAAATGTTGTGTAAAACAACTTAATTGGCTTTTAACATAAATGCTGTTATACTAAAAACAGATTTGTTCCTAGGACATGAGTGCTCATGAAGCTTAAATGTGCCATCCAATTATTTGAATAGTAACTGGAACATCATGTTTAATTAAATGAAATCATGGCATTATCAGAGAGCTCCACTTTGCATTCTAAAAGAGTAATCATTCTCTTTTTGGAGAACAGAGAGACACCTTGGAAAGGGACAGACAGATCATTACTGTGGCAATTTTCTCAGAGACAAATAGTTCAATCTTCTGGTCCTGAATTGCTTGGTGCACACACCGTATTGAGTAGAAATGCTGCTCGTGTTGAAGGAAAGCAAAGCACATATAATGTGTGGGATAAGATCATACTCATACTGTCTTAACTACAGTTACTATGCCAGAAAGATAATGCATACTTGTTATATATATATGTACCTGTAACATAACACTGCATTTAAATTTACCTATATATAACTTTCTTTAAAAAGGACTGATAACTTTTAAACCATTATGAAATTTAACTGAATTTCAGTGCAAATCTATCTCAAACTGTGCATTACATTGCTTACAGCTCACAAGAACACTTATAATGTGTGTCCATTTTTACAGAGGATGACTGTGGTGATGGCAGTGATGAACTGGGTTGTGTCCATTCATGCTCTGGCAATCAGTTCAGATGTTCCAATGGAAGATGTGCCCCAAATCACTGGGTCTGTGATGGTGACAATGACTGTGGAGACTTCAGTGATGAAAGACAACCAAATTGCACCAAGAATGGTTGGTATATAATAGCAAAAAGTCAAAACATGCAATATATGGACATGACCCAAATGTATTTCAAATTATGGAAGGAATTATCTGAGTGGAACTGGGAGGAGGTATTCTCTTCCACCTTTGCCCCTTCTCCTCTCATAGGCCCTCAACATCTCCTGCAAAGAACTTTTGGAGCCAACATTTGGAAAACATAGGTAAAATCATAGAATGAATAAGGGAAGAAGTCCCACTGTACTGGCAGACATATGCTAACTCAAAGGGACAGACCTATGTGTTAAGCATTGGGATTTTGAAAAAAAAAATTCACTTGATTTCATTTTTACATAAAATTAGGTGTGTTTTGAATGCTGCAAACGTTTTGCAGAATATTGAACCTTATGCATGCATGTATGCATTCAATATCCCAACTTTCTTCCAGTGCAGGACCCAAGGTGGCTTGTAAACTGAATTAAGCAAATAAACCAAAAAGCCAGTAAAAATATAACACCAAAGAACCATTAAAATGAGTACATATTAAAACAGTTTTAACTACTGTGAATAGTTTAATTATGTTTTTATTTTTGTATGTTTTTAGCTGTGTTGTTATTTTTTTAATGTAAGCTACTATGAATCCCCCCCCCCCTTCTTTTGGAAAAAAGCAAGATATTAAGCACCACCACCAAGAATTTAAAAACTTTTTTTCAAATATTAAAACAAGTGTCCCAGAAAAGGCTTAATTTCAGGAAACAGTTAGTGACCCAGAGGTTGTTTAAAGGACAAACATTATTTTCTCTCCGTTGGAGGAGAACATAAAAGAGTCAGCTGCATACTGATAACCCTATATCTCCAGATGATTTCTCCCTTTTGTTTCATATAAATGTTAAAAACCATTGGGGATAGAATGTTCCCTGGTGGAATGCCATACAACAACTCTTTTCTTGAGGAGTAGCTAGCTATCCCCAAGCACCACCATCTGGATCCTGCCTGAGATGTATGATTGGAACCACTGCAACACAATGCCTCTGATACCCAATCCCTCTAAGATACCAGGGATGATGGTATCAAAACTGCGGAGAGATCTAAAAGCATCAACAGGGACACACTCCCCCCCCCCATTGGTTAAAAGGGATGCAGCTTTTTACTAATTTGGTCTTGAATAAAGCAATGTCTTTATTCCTCTTCTAAGAATGTATTTCAAAACTGCAGTTTCAAAATCATGTCATAGGTCAATACTTATTCTCAGAAAAACTGTGTGTGTGTGTGTGTGAGAGTGAGWGAGWGAGAGAGAGAGAGAGAGAGATGCATGTATGGATATTTGCATATAACTGCACAGATAACACTTTCTGTACAGAAAATAATATTTATGCAAACTAATATTTTCAGAGCAGAAGATGTAGTTTCAGCACAGAAAACATTGCAGTTGGGGACATATTCTGGATACGTTTTAGACAAGGATTGTTGTTGTGTGTGTGTGTTTGTACATGTGCAAACAAAATAATTTCCTGTAAATGATTTTCTGCACAAATCATATCTCCTATAATTATTTTCTGCACAGAAGAGGCTGTTTTCTTGCAGCAACAACCCCCCCCCCCCGATAGGTCCCAAACTGCAAGGATTCTTTTTAGTCAAGGATTCTCTTCATCAATATTGCCTGATGCTTGCAACATGTTTTTCAAATTGTTTTTTTTTTAGCTTCAGGTTTGCTTTGAGAAGGAAATCACTGTTGATTTTTTTTAAAAAAAAATCTTAATTTTAAACTCCCCAAACTTAGCCTCAGTCTCATAACCTTCCTGCATCCTGATGCTTTTAACACCAAAATATAAATATTTTAAGATTAAAAATAATATGAATTATTAATAGATGTGTGTTTACCCACAGGCTATAGTTTAGCTTGAAGCTGCACAGTCTCTGAAAATGTGATTTTAAAAACCATAAAAACCTGGTTTGAACATCTTTATAAAGCTCATTCATCTTCCTGTGGAAGCATACAATTCAATCTGTACTGCATTATTAGTTATCCAGTTATGGAAAGAGATGTATTGTATTAAAATAATTGGAATAGGTTCAGTCAGAATACAGGCTGCAGAATGATTGAGTCTACTTTTAATTATCTAATTTAATTAGCTTTAATTAATTTGATTAACATAAATATTGTAAACATATCTCTACTTCCCATCTCCAGCTGAGGCACTCAAATGATCCAACATTTACAAATCTTTAAAAAGTTAATTATTTTAAAACACACATACACAAAGAGCAGCCAGCAACAGGTAACTAAACAGAAACAAAAAGGAAGTACGCAAACTTCATGTATCGAATTAATGAGAAAGCTCTTTTTAGTCAAGTCTGGTAATGAAGACAGACCAAATTACATCATGTATAATAAAGTATAAATGTATAAAGTAAAATAAAATGCAAAGTTAAGCCACAGTACTGAAACTGTTTAGAGACATAAATGTGTTCGCCTGGGAAATCAGTATGCGAAGGTATCACATCACAATTTAGGACACACCTATATAGGCCAAATGTGGAAGGACAGGGGTAAATGGACTTTGTGGGGTCCACATGATGCACAAGGCTGATTTGCCCTAATAAGATAGTCATTTGGGATTCCTGCTTTTTTTTATTCACTCACATGAACTGCTTTCACAATGTTGTCATATGTAGGATTAATTCTGTATTCATAGTTAATCTACATTGGAGAAGATGTTGCTGAAATGGCACAAAAGTGATTGGTCTTAGACTTCCCCAAAATATAAGAAACAGAATTTATGACTCATGCTTCAGATTGTTGTCTGAGTTAAAAAAAAAACAGAGTCGTGGTTAAGAAAGTAAACGCTGGAAATGTGGTTGGCTATCTCATCCAAGTGCAGCTCTGCATTAGTCTTCTCCATTCTTACATCCTACATGGAAATGATGGCTACATGAATTGAAAATTTAAACATCAATGCCTGAAATTCAAGAAAAGCAACATACATGTAACTGACTTTAGTTTCCTGAAAACAGCAATGTTATGGAATCCAGACAGTTTCACTATAATTTTAGTAAATATTAGAGAAATGAGGTATTTTCAAGGTACAACAGCTGTTTCAAATCCTTATATGCTGTTGTCTAGAATATAAATTAAACAGTCTTGTTTTGTAGAGTCTGATGTAGGTAGCACTGAAGGCACTACATTGTGAAGCCCCAAAGCACCGATTCATTCCTGCATTACAACTCAGTGTTGAGACGGCTTTGAGTGAGAGTAGCCTGAAATTGCCTTAGAGTCACATCATAGAATAGCAGCATGAAACTTCAGAGAGAGCTGGGAGCCATTATACTAGCAAACCTGGCAAAAAGCTAAATTTATGGTACAGGGCTTTTTGGGTAAAACAACCAGAGCTGGCCTTGAAAACACTATCTGGTTTCAGCTTTGAGTAGGCAGCTAAAGCAGTATTGTTGCTCATCACATTTAATGTCTGTTTTAAAATTACATTTAAGGGTGGTTTTAGACTAATTTTGAAGGTTTTTAAAGACTATATTTTAATATTTTAAAGTTTGTATTATTTTTAAAATGTCACTGTTGCTTCAAATGTTTGTATTTGTTGTGCCTTGCCCTGTGATTTCCTGGAGAGTGAAATATGCTGTATGTTATACTTGTTTAGAACATCCAAGTTAGTATTGTCGAAGGCTTTCATGGCCAGAATGACTGGCCATTCTCTCCAGGAGAGAATGCCTCTAGAACATGGCCATATAGCCCAAAAAAACCTACAACAACCCATCCAAGTTAGTGTTCATGTTTGTATGTCACTGTGCATAGTTCCAATTCCTTAACTGGCTATATCCAACTTGTATGTTTTATTCATACCAATAATTTTGTTTCAAAGGAAAGATGTGTATGCAACTGTAGGTTAGGTTGATGCTTCACACTCAGTGTCCAACTGCTCAGGTTATACTCTGAGAAATAGTGCTTGTGGTTTCTTGTAAAATGAGGTTTGCACTTGTTTGTTAAAGTGGTTTCAGGGACATCCACAAGAAACTGAGTTTGGTTTCCAACAAATTTTAGAATACTTGAAATAGTGGAGAGAGGGCATGAGAAACTTCCCGAATCATAACAACCTCTTTTTTTATTATCTTTCGATTAGAAATAGCCTCTCTTGGAAAATGTGGTGGGCATGAATTTCAGTGCCATCCAGATGGAAACTGTATTCCTGAGTTCTGGCGCTGCGATGGAGAAAAGGACTGTGAAGATGGCAGTGATGAAAAGTTCTGTAATGGAACTATACGCCCATGTGATGATAAGACAAAATTTTCCTGCAAGACCACAGGTACAAAACAATCTCCATCCCCTCTTTAAAAATCACAACTCTAGAGATTCTTTACTGTGTGGCATAACACTCAATGACCATTAGGTTTTGGCTGCTTCTGATCAGATTGCTGTCACCCAGTAGTGCTTTAATGCAGTAACTTTCTTGGGTTTATTGTAGATCAATTCACTGTTTCTTTTTCTCTTGTAAGTTTATTCCTCACCCCCCAATTTGGCTGGCTTTACTCTATTTCACATACATTCCACAATATGCAAAGCTTTATATTTCATACTTTATGTTTTACAATATGTGTCTTAAATTTTACAAAATGTAATCCGAAGTAGCACTCAGACACAAAGTCCATCTGCTACTACATTTTTAAACAAAGTACATAGTGTCATATTCCATTCCTGAGTCTTAGGGCCCTTCTACACTGCCATATAATCCAGAATATCAAGGCAGATAATCCAGATTATCTGCTTTGAACTGTATTATCCAAGGGCCCTTCATCCCAGGATCTGATCCCAGGGTTTTGGTTTATCCCAGATTATCTGGCAGTGTGAACTCATATAATCCAGTTTAAAGCAGAAAACCTGGGATCAGATCATGGGGTATAGAGCATGTCTGAAAGGGCCCTGAGTCTATGTTGTGATATAATCCACTTCAAAGCAGATAATCTGGATTCTATTTAGCTGTATAGAAGGAGCCTCGGGACGGCTCACAAAACACTCAAAGCATGGCATGCAAAATATAACAACTGCAAAACAAAACATATGAATAGACAATAAACAATCAACACTACATCATAAATTCATAGTACTCCCTGGTGAAAACAATAAAATACAGCAATTGCTGTAGAAAAAAACAGTATTTTCTGTGGTGCCCCCCCAACTTTGGAACACCCTCCCCAAGGACATCAGACAAGCCCCTACACTGACAGTGTTTGGGAAGAGTTTGAAGACCTGGTTGTTCCGGTGTGCCTTTACAGAATAGGATACTCCAGCAATATGTCCCAGAAGCACTTTATCAGTGATTTAAGATTGTCTGCACATTGCACTTACTCTAAAATCCTACATTTCACCTGTCATACTCAGCACTTTTTAATTTGTACCCATTACATTTGGCCTGGCCCTAGTTTTACTGTGTTATGGTGTATTGTTTGTACTGTTTACTGTTATTGCTTAATGTTTTGATTTGCTTTATAATGCTGTGTGTATTGTTGTGCTGTGTTTTTATTGAGGCCTTGACCTTTGTAAGCTGCATCGAGTCCTTCAGGAGATGTTAGCGGGGTACAAATAAAGATAATAATAATAATAATAATAATAATAATAATAATAATAATAATAATAAATAATTCTGCTTAGATACATCCTACCTCCGTTCACATCCAGTGTTTATTTTTTTTAATAAAAAAAATCTATTACATCTGGCCCAGCCATAAGGTTTTAAATTTTGTGTGTTATTGCTTATATGTGAGTTATATTAATTGTACTGTTTTATTTGCTTGCTGCTTTGTTGTTTACTGATGTGTTGTTGGGCTTGGCCTCATGTAAGCTGCCCCGAGTCCCCTTGGGGAGATGGTGGTGGGGTATAAATAAATTATTATTATTATTATTATTATTATTATTATTATTATTATTATTATTTAACTTTCTGTTGAAAGAACTTCATGAGCTACTGGTTCATTTCTAGCCACTAAAGTTCTTATATAAAGTCCTGTACAGCTTTGATCCATATTCTCTGACAGATTATGCCAGAGTTTTAAGATGCTTGTGGGAGGGCTTTCTCTTAGCCCCAATGCCATCTCAGGCCTATCTAATGAGGACACAATAGAGCACCCCCTTCCACAGGAGGCTAGGCTGCTTTCACAAATAAGCTTTTGATTATTAATTAGTTGCACTGTGAGTTTTATGGGAGATTTCCCCCCACTTTTTGCAACCTATTTTAAAAGAGGTTTTAAATTGAATGATGTTTTAGTGTGATAATTATCAATAAAAAATCTTTTTAGAATTATTATCAGATGTGTAGCTTATCTTGTTTTTAGCTTTGTAAGTTGCCTTAGGTCCCATGCTGGGAAAATGTGTATAAAATAAATGAATGAATAAGTAATAAGAGTTTTTATGTATGATTTATAGTGACAAAGAAAACATTTCTAAATCTGTTAGGTTTGTCATATATTTCTAACTTAAAATATTATTAGATGTTTCTGGTAAGTTTCTAATCCTTTTATATATGGTGAGGCTTCCCAAATTCTCCTTTGCAAAGTTACCTAATTACATAAGCATCTGATTCTAATTATTTCCTTGAATGGAACTGACACAACTCAATTATGTTTGTGCCTACTCCAGCTCTTTTGTCCTCATTGTTTGCCTAATTTATGCATCATTTTATTTTACAAGACACAGAATTGATTAGTATAAAACCTTTTGGTGGGTATTTAGAAAAGGACTGCTCTTGATTCACGAAGGCTACTATGGTAAAACGATGGAATTTCATTAGAGTTCAAAGACTTTGTCTCACCATTCTACCCGTAATATTGTTATAATCTAACCTCACACATCCACATCAGCCATACATGTGGTTGTGGAGAGGGTGGCACCGTTTTCCTTCCCAAGAGAAGGGAAAGAAGAAAGGGAGTACCCCCAATGAAAAGGGGAAAGAAGATAAGCAGGTGCATAAACAACCAGTTCTGTCCCTCTTTCCCTGTCTTTCACCATCACTTTGCCACTCAACTCTATCACTTCCTGGATACTAGAGCAATCTTCAGTTGATCAGCTTCAACAACTGGTAGGAACTTCACAAACAGGAAAAGATTTTTCTCATCTTGTAATAACTTTCCACAGGAAAATTGGCTTTGGTTAGTGCTTTAAATGAACTGATTTAGAGAGCTTTATTAAACTTATTGGTGAGTGCTTGCATTATTTATCTAACTTGTTCAATTGGCATTTATTCCCTATAATTGGTGTTTATAGGTCACTTTTTGGCAGACTAATATGAAAAAGGAGGCCCTTTTTCCAGTGGGTCTCCTGGAACTTGAGGGTGGAAGCCATTAAGGATGCATTTGACTATTTTTAAGGCTTGAGAGGGAGGCCGGCATATAAAAATTTCTTGGGAGTGAGCTGACTAAGGGCAGACAAAATTTATTTGGTTTGGTTCTGGGGACTTCCATTGATATGCTGACAAATATAGTATATTGTATGTTTCAGCATACAATATGCTATGCAACCCTGCTCCCTGCTGCAGTTCAAATTGAAGTACCTATAGACTAAAAACAGCCCCATAACCCTGGGCTAACTTAACCACAGATCAGTGTGAGTTCTGTACTTTAACTGTTATAAAAAGTGAACTATTCCCTTCTCTGGACAGAATAGCAAAAGGCAAGAGCTTGGTGTATCTCAGGAGAAAATGAAAAATGTACTGACCCCTTCTATTTTCTCAGCTATGATACTACTTCTGGGCTTTTTGAATACTTGGGTCAAGGAAATGGTGATAGTTGTCAGAGACAGCTGTCCCTCCTGGGTTGGCATTAGTGCTTTCCCATTTCTGCAGAATGTTCCTCAACTGATCTATGGGCCCTATCAAAATCTCTAATTTCAATCCTCAAACCTGTTTTTGTCATATACATGAGGTTGACTTATGAATGTGTATATACACTAGTTAATAACCTGGTAGTTAATAAAGGGGGGCTTAATTTATCAGTACATTTGTGTGATAGTCTCTTTCTTTGGACTAGACGAGCAACTGTTTTTCAATTTAACTTTTCCATTTTATCCTTCATGTTTCTTCATGCTCCTATTCATTCTTGTATATTTTAAACTAAAACAAGCAGTGTGTGTCGAGATTCTAACATGCTAGTAAAGCTGAAACAAAACGGAGACTTCTCAAAATATAGCTATATTCAGTATTTTAAAAAACGAAAACATGATATAGATTTGGGCATTTTTGGATTTATCTAGTGCTAAGTAACACAACCGCATAGATCAATGCTGTCAAACTCATACTCACCGAGAGCCACATAAGCCTTATGGTTGTCTTCAAAGGGCAGTTTGTAATTGTAAGACTGTATGAATGTAACTATCTTGCCCTATAATTGAAAACCTCATAGGCCACATAAGATGACATCTTGCATTTGATATTCGTAGCCTAGATGGAAATGCTGTGTTTGAACTCTCCAGTTCCCTGACCCAAAACTATCCTGATCTGGTTTTCAGATATCCTCCGCCTGCATGGGAAGGAAGTTACCTAATCTAGTAGTTAGCCTTCTTTTTCCTTTCACTTCCACCAGAAATTTACTATTTAATTTTCCCTCAGTAATTTCAGAACTTTAGTCAAATTTAATTGAATACAAATCAAGCACTGGCGATACAAACATATTTGTAAGTATTCAGTTCACTCTGAGTTCCATCGTAAAGGAGTGTCCCATAATAATATGAAGCTGTATTTACAGTACTGACAGCCTTTAATAGATTAATAGTAATCCTTCCCCCAACTCTGTTTCAACAGCTCCTAATTATGTACTTGGAATGAAGAAAAAAGAAGCAGCTGTCAGCTGTAAATAAGAAAAGAATATGGAAATCACATGCCTTTTGGTCATTTGTAAAAACAGAGTGACATTAATTGTATTTCTAAGCATGCCTATGAGCAACAATTAAGCTTATTCAAAGAATCTGTTATACCTATTTACTTACACATGGTATAGCATTATTTCCGACATACCCCTTTTCAAATACAGCCAGAAAAGTTAGTGCTCCAAAATCTCTGCATTTTGCTAATAGTTTATATAATATAACTATTATGTAGTATCTCCGATCTTGAATTTTGTTCAGTATCTTTGATTTTGAAATACTAAGACAGTAGATGTGGTGTCAAGACATAGTACTAACATTTGCAGATATTCATAAATCTGTTTTATTAATTATAGTGGCTTCACATTAGTTGTAAATATTTCATTTTTAAGGGTTAATTCATTGTAAAAGTAATATATTGATATGGATGCTATAAAGATGAAAACAATATGAACCAATAATACTTAGTTGCACATAAATGTTATTTCATAACAGCAAGAAGAAAAACAACACATAGCTACTCACTACAACAACACTCACTACTGTGAGTTGTGGGCTAAGCCACGTACTTCCCCTGCTGCACATCTTGCTGTAGTTTATTCTCTGTATTCATATTCTTGCAGTTCATTGCATGTCCAAGGTTATTAACTCTCAGAAACATCTCACATCCCACTGCCAGTTGAAGAATGATATAGACCTTTGTACATAGCATTTGGGGAAAAGCACATTGGGAAAAATATTGTGATTCTCTACCCAAGGAAATAATTTAAAAGGTTAGAGAGACCAAAACTGTGGAGGAACAGTGGGTAATACTAATCTGACTGCTTTAGAGTTAGCTCCATTGCAGCAGACTCCTGGCTGCACACAGATAACCTCTCATTGTGGCCCTTAGTGTGGGTCAGTGACATCCAGCTGAAATTAACATGCTGTTTTCTACTAAACTTTGATCTCACTCCTTATTAACCTTTAAAAATAATACAGGGTGAGGCAGCATAACTTCCTTTTTCAAAACTTAATAAACACATTATATGAATCAGATTTTTTTTATAAAGTAGGTGCATACCTAAAGTTTTGTTTTACGTAGTTTTGAAGGTCTTCAAATCTTATAGGGTCCTTGGACGGTTCACATAAACACAGGATTTCAAAAAATCCCATAGGAAAAAAAATCACAAGGGGCCAAATCTGGAGAGCGGGCCGGCCACTCCAAATCTGCTCAAAAAGTAGGCCTCAATGGCAAAAGCACGCTCCTTACTGTTCCAATGCATGATGGTGACTGAACTGTGTCAGGACAAAACTTTATACTCCCGCCTCTTGAACGAGACCACTAGCGCTCCACTACGTCTTCAACTGACTGAATGGCGTGCATTTTAAAAAAGGAGGTTATGCTGCCCCACCTTGTATATGAGAAGAGCAAGATAGTGGGAGGGATAGAGAGAAGAGAAGAGAACTACAGATTGATGACAAAGCTTAATTGAGTAGGTTGTAGGATGAAATCCTGTACCATAGGCGAGCTTTTCTCAGCTCAGCAGTTTCAGATGTGTTGAAACCACATTTCCAGCAGGCAATAATTGTATTGCAGTTTGTAATTCTTAATTAGAGGAAGTTAACAGTAAAATAACAGAATAATTTTGAAGCATTAACCATATTACGTGGTGACAGCCTTCATGCATTTGCTGTAAAGCTCATGGTTTGTCCTGAAAATTGTATAAATGATGAGTTCATAAGTGGTAACTTAATTAAATAAAGCAATTCTCCCTTTTTGGTATTTTTGATTTCATAATTTCTTATACTTGATACATCTACATAAACATTCAAATTTACTATTCCAAGCTTTTTAAGAGAATGAACAGAAAAAAACCACCCATCTCTTTTACACGTACAGAAGCATTTACCTTTTTGAATATGCATTTTAGACCTAAGTAATTGATGTATTGTTCATTATTTTCTTTAAATAGTTGGCATTTATTTAAATTTGATTAATGCAACCCAGTTTTGTCCTGAAAGGAATCAGTTATTTTTTTATCATATCTGCTTTTTTTTCAAAATTATGCTTGCTTTTAAAAAGTTTTATAGCATATGATTGCTTGTCACTATATAAACATAAGTTCCCTACAAACTGTCATTTTCCTTTGTTTGTAACTGATGGCTCTCCTATCAATTGCAAAAACATTTATCGTAATATATTTTGTCTACACTTGTTTGAAATTAAAATAAAATGCAAGATCAAAGTAGAGGAGGAACAAACATTACATTTTTTTATTATTGGATAAACTTGTAGGTTACATACAACCCCAATGTTAAAAGTTCTGTTCTGCCTTTCTGCTCTCTTACAAAGTATATTCAACAAGATAATAAGAGATCATGTTTTTGGAGTGTATTGTTGATTTTCCATCTGGTCCTGTTTTTGTATTCTTTTTTATAATTCAAGGGAGATGTGTCAGTAAAGCATGGCTATGTGATGGCGACATTGATTGTGAAGATCAATCTGATGAGGATAATTGTGATGGATATACATGTGGCCCTCCAAAGTATCCCTGTGCTAATGATACTTCTATCTGTCTACAACCTGAGAAGCTCTGCAATGGGATAAAAGATTGCCCTGACGGATCTGATGAAGATATTCTTTGTGGTATTTGATCAAATAGACATAACAAAAAATGTTTCCCTTTTGCAACTCATCCTGTCAGCGTGCATTTTCCTTAAAGGCAGATTCATAGTCTTAATTTGTTGTTTTGTTAACATGTCTTTGGATGCTTCTACACTGCTACATAATGCATCTTGAACTAGCATAAAAATGCTGACCTGGAGCCACATGGTAGCTACACATGGCTCTTGGACATGACTGGTCATTGGCCTCCTTGTACCTCCTTGCAATACTCACAAAACGACGATGATTTGCACTTAACGTTGCAGGTTTTGAAAGAACTTGCAGGAGGGGAGGTAGGCTTCCCTCTCCAGAGTTCCGTCATCTCCTGAGTGATGCAGTCAAGGAAGAGAACTGCAATGATAAGAGTGATTCCCCTTCATTTTTGTAGAAAATTGGAATGCAGGGAGGCTCAGGAGACACTGCCATCCCATCTCCCAGGGCTCCCTGTCATTAGGAAGTGATGGCCCTTTGGATGGGTAAGCCCCCTTCCCTCCTCTAAAAGTCCATTGTGTCTTAATCACACAGGAGTGTGAGGGGGCAGGAATGCACTCCCTTCCCACCTTCCTGGCCTGCCTAAAACCAGGGAGTATGAGATTCCAGTGGGATGCCATCTGGGATCACGCATGATGATTCCAGATGGCTGTCTCCACTGGCACAGCACTATCAAAGATTCAGATCTTGCAGGAAGAGCTGGGTTTTTGCTGGTGAGACACATAAGATCAGCCTGCCCAAAGTCACCAAAAATATAATAAGTAGGTGGGGGCTTATTTGAAGGAATAAAAATCCCAAAATGCTGAACACCAAATGTGAGGCTTCTGTGATTAAAAGCCAAAACAAAAATCTGTAAGGAAAGCTGGAACTTTATTCTGGCCAAAAAAACTTTTGAAAACTCTTTGGCCACCACTAAATTTAAAAGCACTGATAAGCCCTTGGCTTACTTAAAGTATCATAGGCAAAAGTGTGTTGGATTAGCCCTCAGGCTTGTGTTCTGAGTTCACACGAAAAGATTGTTCTTTAAATTATACGCTGCCACCATAGACTCTTGTTTGCTGCAGGAAACTGCTCTTAAAACTTCACCCACAGAAGCACACATGAGGCAGATGTTGAGAACAACAAAACAATGTTTATTTAAGAGAACTGGAACAATTCAGGTATAAAGCTTAGCTGTTTCAGAGTATTGACTTTAAAAGTGTGTCGTTACTTTAAGCAGTTCAGACTTGGTTACACCGGAACACTTCTCTCTCCTTCCACAGAATTTACTGACAGGATATCTCTCTGAAAGTAATTTCTAGACTCCTCCACTGATAGTCCTACCCTGGATCTATCTCTACACTCCTCCACCAGCTATTTCCCTAATAGCTGTAAAAAATCTTCTCACTAGCTATCTCTGCTAGCCAATTGACCAATTTCAGGCCTCTCTCACTAACCCTTCACCACTCCTGATTCCCAGCTCCTTCTTTGACACCGACTGTCAAGCTCCATGACAGGGTTTTTAAAATGTCCCCTTCAAGTCATTTTTTTTCTTTTTCAAGTTAAGCTCTACCCACCCTCACTCAACCAATCACAGTCTTCCCTCATTTCCCTCCAAAGCTGCTCTTTCTAAAAACGCCCCCTTAAGGAAATGAGTAGCTAAAATGGATTTCCCCGGCACCCTTTCCAAAACAGCTGACAAACTTCCTGGGCCTACTTTTCTAGGCTTTTCCAAGCCTAACAGGTAGGGAATTCACTATAGATGCCATCTGGGATCACGCAGATCGCTGTCTCCACTGGCACAGCACTATCAAAGATTCAAATCTTGCAGGAAGAGCTGGGTCTTTGCTGGTATTTTCTTTTTCTTTCTTTTCAACCGGGGATCAAGTCAGAATAAAAGGCTTTACCCAGGTTAAAACACATTAGCCTGGATGCATCATTTACACACCCCAAGTTAATGTGTTTCCTACACTGCACTTTATGACAGCGTAGAGGTGAAACATGTAGTATTTCTAAAATGGATGTTCATAAAATGCATTTTTGATTTTTTCTGTGCTAAATGAGTATAAAAATAGTTCTGTATTCTGACTCAGAGATACTCTTACCATCCTTTTTTACATGATTGAATATGCATATGGTGCACATGCATAAAGAAAAGCATACTCATGGAATCCACCCTTGCCCATTGACTTTCATATATGCATGTAATAATTTGTATGGTTTTCACATGCACATGCACAAGCACAATCAGTGACTATGTTTTTCATTGGCACCTGTGATACTTCACTTGGCCCTGTTTAACATTCTCTCTTTTCAACTCAGGACCTCATCCAATTTACCTTGTTTAACCCTGAATATGCATTAACAATGCTTCTAAGCTGTCCACAGATTTTATTAACATACTCCTTTTCCTTCCTACACTAAACAGAAAAATGTGTTCCAGATTGAATCTTGAGGAATTTTATGTTCTATTTTTCTCCAATATTAGTCTGACACAAAACTAGTGGTCTTTTAAAAAAAGAAAATAAACTGTTTCTACTATTAAGTTGCACTGCACGAAGCAGCAATTTCTGTTTTTTTTCTTTCATTTCAGATGAATGTTCACTTAACAATGGCGGCTGCAGTCACCAGTGTTCAGTAGTTCCTGGAGGTAGAATTGTGTGTTCATGCCCTCCAGGACTACACTTGAGTTCAGACAATAAGACCTGTGAATTTGAAGACTATTGCACAAAACACCAGAGGTGCAGCCAAGTGTGTGAGCAGCATAAAAATACCGTTAAGTGCTCCTGTTATGAAGGCTGGAAGCTCAATAAAGATGGTGAAAGCTGTGCTAATATTGGTAAGTTGACATTTACCATTTATTTGCTACTGTTGAGTTCCCTTATGAAAGTTTAAGAGAAGTAAAATAAGACCTATTTGCTTTCAAGATGCAGCATGAGTTATCACTTATTTTATCCTTAACTCTTATATATCCAGACCACAGTTTGTTTCAGCCAGAATTTGGGAGGTGTATTACAAATTGCAGGATTAAAAAACATATTGGTGCCTGTGTGCATATCAGTAAAGTGTCTAGCAGGACTGAATCTAGCAATTGCATCTGTTTTCTTCTAGTCATTCTGAGAGTGACTAAATTTTGGAATTAGGCTATGCCTGTAGTATTGTGTTGTAACATTCTGTTTACCCATCTCAAAGCACATACTTGTTACTCAGCCTTAAAGTACTTTGTGCATAAAGTATGTACAGGGGAGGCCAAAAGTCATGGAGGGGCTTCAATATTTAATAACCCATTATTTTTTGTTCTTAATTTGCAATACCATAGCATCATATACAGTGTTATATAGAATATAAATTTGCATTATGTGCAAAAAATCAAATCTCATAAATGATGTCAAATGCCAGTATATATAGGACACCCTTGTGACTTTTCGCCCGCCCTATACATGGAAATACAGTGTATTAACTCTGGTGTGTGAACTAAAATATTTGATTTGAAAACATCTCTTCCTAAAATAATGAAAATGTTATTTTTGCACCATGTATTGTACAAAATGTAGATGTAATCTCAATTTACTATGAAACAATTTGCTGAGATATTCAAAAGAATATTCTTGTTCAGTTCTTGTGGGTTTTTTCGGGCTATATGGCCATGTTCTAGAGGCATTTCTCCTGACGTTTCGCCTGCATCTATGGCAAGCATCCTCAGAGTTGGTTAGTTAATCTTGTTAGAACATAATTCCTTAGGAAGCAAATGTATTTTATTAGAACTATGGACCAAAATTAAGATTTTTAAATTGGATTTTTCTGTTAATGATATCAATGGAATGTTTTAGAGATGATGGATCTGGGATGAAATATGTATTTTAGAAAAATGTGAGAAGAAATTCTGATCTTCTGCACACTTATGATTGCCTTGGAATTTCTTTTCTACCCTGGAACCATCCTGAAACCAAGATCTAAGTGAGAAGCATATCAATTGTGTTTAGTCAACTAAATGGTCAACCAACATTAAGAATGTGTGTGTTGCTTACACCGTATAAGATTTTTCTTTTGCAAAGAAGTACAGGTAACCCTTTTTGCTTTTTTTGTGTTTTCTGCACAAAATATTTTATACAAAGGACAAAGAGTGAAATTCATGATAGCAGTTATGAATGTGTAACCTAGACTTAAGCTTTCATGAGTCATTTGTATTCATGATCCTGATATATTGAACAATGTAGGAATCATAAAAGTCCAAAATTCGGACTTACCAAGCAGCTGTGGACAACAATTGTTTGCTCTCCTATCAGTTGTATTAGAGCAGACTGACTTTCCCACCTTCCTTGTGTACTTCCTATTACAATTCCACCTTACTTGAAGAATGAAGTGGAAATGTTAATCTGCAACACACTGATCGATAGGAGAATAGATCCCTATTGCTTGCAATGGTTTCTTCCTGGTAAGACGGAATCGAGAGGTGGGGCTTAAAGGCATTATTTATCTAATTAGGTCATCTAGAACCTTGCCCATTGTTTTTGCAGAAAACACTGCATTTTGTGCTAAACATTCCCCCCTTTTTGTAAGAGAGAGGCTGGAGGGGAAAATCACAATGTTCCTCGTGCTGTGAGAAGTCACTATGTGAAATACCCAGGCTTGCTTGCTGCTCTTTATTTAGAGAATGACAACTAGTCTACAAGTTATCCGTTAGAGTTAGCCAAATTACTATCAAGTTGTTTTTTTAAAGAAAATACTAAAAGAACCTACTTATTTCTGTTGCAATAAAATGTAATACTGTGTTCCCAGATCCTTTTGAAGCTTTCATCATTTTCTCAATTCGTCATGAAATCCGAAGGATTGATCTGCAGAAACGGGACTATAGCCTGTTAGTTCCCGGTTTAAGAAATACAATAGCACTTGATTTCCACTTCAATCAGAGCTTATTGTACTGGACAGATGTGGTAGAAGATAAAATTTACAGAGGCAAACTGTCAGAATCTGGAGGTATGAAATTAAGCTGTGTTATTATAATGATTCTGGGGGGAAATCTCAACTGGAAAATGATGTTGAATCCATTATATTTTAGGCAAATTATTTTCCCATTCTCAACTGAAAATTTCACTCAAAAATAGTAAATGTGCTAAATTCAATTCAGATTATTTTTCTTACTGGTATTTGTATAATCCAGAACATCTAAATAACCAATACAAACATGCAAAAGCTTAATTTGGTGTCGTTATTTCCTTTCTCCTGCATGTTTTTCATAATATTCTTTCACTTATTTCATTCAGCAATTGGTGAATTAGTGAAACATAACAAATATTTAATGTCACACAGAGACAATATATCTTTCAATGAAAGACAAAAAATTGACCACAGTGCCAAATGCCTCCTAGATTACTCTATAGATCCACATTTGATGCAAAACCACAATGTTTTCTGTGCAAAAATGCTGCTTTGACAAAAGCAAGGGTTTCTTTCCCCAAATGATTTTTTTCAAAAAGAAAGTACAAAAATGTTAACAATGAACAACAAATATGTAAACACTCCCATAATTTCACCCAACATGGAATGTGATTGTTTAAGTGGTTAATAATTTTTACAAGCAAAAAAAAATATATATCAAAGATTCCCTGGTAATCATACATGCAATCGCCTTTTTAAAAAAAAACAGTACAGTTGTCCCTCTACATTTGTTGATTTAACTTTTTGCGGATGTGATTATTTTGTGCTGCCACCACTGCTGCCCTACACCATTTTTAACACTGATGTCCACCATGAGCTGTGTTCAGTTAAATCTGGTTTATCCAGCAGTTGGGCAGGGGGAAGTTAGCCTCGGCTTCATATGTGTTCCCTCACTCACTTTCTTTGGTGGAAAGGAGAAAGGGGATGGGAGTAGCAGAAGGAGGGAAAGCAAGTACTGTGCAGGTCTCTGGGATGTACAGAGTGAGTGCCATTGCTGCAGCCCTCCCTACTGCCCTTGTCTTTGTCCCATCACTACTACCTTCTTATCCAACTACCCCAGGTCTCTCCACCTCCTCTCCCACATTCTGGGTGTTCTGTCTCCTCCAGAGACCTGCACACCACTTGTCATCCCTCTTGCCATCCCTTTCCCTCTTTTGCTCAAGTGAATGATGACTTGTTTTGCACACAAACATCAATAGCACAGAAGGAAAGAAAGATGTACATGAACTGAAAAAAAAGTAAATTTACTTACGAGGACCTTGAGATCATCTGGGGAGGCCCTCCTCTCGGTCCCGCCTGCCTCACAGGCACGTTTGGCGGGGACGAGAGAGCGGGCCTTCTCGGTGGTGGCCCCCCGGCTTTGGAACTCCCTCCCTGCTGAAGTTAGACAGGCGCCCTCCCTTATGGCCTTTCGTAAGGGCCTGAAAACATGGCTCTTCGAGATGGCCTTCAACTGAGTGCTATGTTATTGGAAATGACGACCGGAATGGACTACGACTATGAGATTGATTATGACCCCATGATACGACGAAGCGGATTTTTAGTATAAGTAGTTGTTATGTAGTAGTAGAATGTTGTTACTGTCTTGATCTATTGTAAACCGTCTTTTTTATGTTGTTGTACACCGCCACAAGTCGCCCTAGGGCTGAGAGTGGCGGTTAATAAGTGCAAGAAATAAATAATAAATAAATAAATAAATAAATTATGCATTTTCTTGTTGGTCTGGAAAGGGTTAAATATTTGAGAGTTTAAGTTCAAGTAATACTTCCCAGATTTCTGTGGTACTTGGAAATCATCCACTTCCATTAAATACATTTCTGCTGCCTCTCAATGCACTTATTCAAAGCCAAGAAACTTACCTTCATAGAATCATAGAGTTGGAAGAAACCTCATGGGCCATCCAGTCCATGAAGCAGGAAACTTGCATTCAAAGCATTCAGGTTAGGGCAATGTGAAGGTGTAACTTTCCTAAAGTTCTAGATCTTTTATCCATCCTAAGTGAGACTGTTCCACTTACATTCTACCCACTACTTAAAGAATAAAGAATAACAAATGAGCAAAATAAATAATAATAAAAGAGCTGATTTGAAATCTCCAGTCAGAAGGTTTTCATCTTGTGTGTTTCATTTGCTGGGAAAGAGAAAACATGAATTGTGAGGAATAAAGGTGCAACACTTCAGGACAACATGGGACTGCAAATTTTTGTTACAAATTTTATGTTGGTGTTTGGGTTTGTGGTTTTCCCAGTTCCTTTATGTCCTATCTTCTGCTCAGCCAGAGATCCTGACGTAGTTTTTGGATCAGGAGAAAGGGTGTTGGGGAGATTTTTTTTGAGTCTGCTTTGTAGCATTCAGACTATTAATGCTCATTATTCTGAAGAATCTGAATGTTGAGGCAAATTGGTTTTAGTACAGTTAATATTTGTTTGTTTGTTATTTCACTGTTTGCAAATTACCATATGCCACTGAATCTCAGAGTTGGATATAACTAATAATCCAGTAATCCCGTACAGTAGGAAGTCCGAAATGTTAAACTCACCAAAATGTACAACATTACCAGAATTAAAAGTTCAAGTATAAACATTAAGACTAAATATTCATTGACAGCCAGTGAATGAAACAATTGCTAAACTATTTTTATCCTATGATCCTGAGAGCGGTTTAGCTGCTATATACTGCACTTATTCTCAAAGTCTTTGTTTTCAAAATCATCCCACATAGAACACATTGCAGTGCTCTAGTCAGTGGGCATACATTCTTAGTTTTAGTCTGAACTATAAAGAAGCCATTGAAAAGGATAGGACTTGGCAACTTTATAATTTTTATAGTTTATACTAAAATCCAAAAAAGGTTCACTGCCCCCTAATTTGAAAGGCATCAACCACTAGGGAATCTAGATGGGAAGTTAACAGTGCATTAACTATTTCTGCCAGGTCATCCATATCAAGCAATAACTGGTTGGTAGACAAATCAAAAGTGGCCCAAAATACTCTGAGCCATCTCTGCAGGAGTATTCCCAAGACACGGAATATCTTCCTTTACTCAGTTCTTTATCCAATAAAACATTATCCACAAAGCCTCCGTTTTGTTAGGATTCAGTTTTACTTTTCTAGATGTTATCCAGCACTTATCCATGTTCACCTGGCCCTCATGATAGGGGTAAACAAGAGCTGGATCTGTCTACTAATTTTGGAATTAAATTAAGATATTTTCCTAAATGAAGCTAATATTTGACAAATCAAAATAGTAGAAGTCTTATTTATTGGGTAATTATTATTAACAGGCAACTCAGTTGCTTAGAGTCAATGGTGGGAGACAATATTTCCAGACTATCTGTTTTACAGAGAAGACATTATTGTAGACTAGATTGATTCAGCTGGCATCCTTTAGAGTATGGCTATAAAGAATATTTACAAACTTTCTTGTAAATGGTGTCTCAACACATCTGTAAAGATGTGAGTGTTGTTGCTGTAAAAAAGCAATGTCAGCATCTGAAAGATTCAGCACTTTTAATTTTTTTTCTGTTTTCATTGTTTTTCAACAAACAACATATTTTGCACACATTTTTAAAACATCTATGTAATTATTCTATTAATATTTCAAATATCCCAAGCACTATGCTGTAGAAGTTATGAAAGTTTATTATTTGTTTCCCTACTTTCAGTGGAAGACATGATGTCATTTATAAAATTTATCCATACTTTTTTGAATAAAACTGCCATAGTGATATTTTTTCACATTTAATTTATTAGACTATTAAGTAGAAACCCTGCATGTTGCTTGCACAGAGAACATTGCTAAGTGCTGCCCATAGGGCTCTAGTATAACCTCCCCTCTCCCACCAGGCCCCTGCACATGTCTCCACTCCTGCTGGGAGTAGCCTGCACATCATGGGCCTAGGGAAGAGCAAGCTCCAAATGCTTGAAGGTAAGATGCGGGGAAGCCTCAGCTGCAAGAGGCTGAATCTACACTTACCCAATTAATCTGAACCAAATTGGTCCAGGACTACCCAGATGCAGTCAACTGGTGCTCTTTTGGCATCCAGATAGCTGACCAAGCTGAGGATACATTGGGTCACCACTGATGATGATGTCACTTTTCCTGGTCATGTGGCTGGGTGCCCTATTGTGACCTCATCAGATATGATATTGTCAGCATAACTGAGAGATATGCTTGTGGCCAGCAACATTGCTGTGGGCACTGGATCAAACTGAATCCAACCCAATCCAGCTGTCCATACATGTGCAAAACACCAGGATCATTCTCCAATTTCCTTGAAGTTCCAGGTAAAATCTCATTTCCCCTTGCACTGGATTAACGGCTGGATGCAGCCATGTCATGTAGACTTGCCACAGAACTTGAAAGCTGAATCCATATTTTGGCCCATGTAGATGTGGGGTGCATGTACACTATAATTATAGCAGTTTGTGGCTCAATGATATGGAATCATGGGGATTATAGATTACAAGGTATGTAGCTTTCTTTGCCAGGGTGGCAATGCCTCACCAAACTATAAATCCCAGGATTCTATAGCATTGAGCCATGACAGTTAAAGTGGTGACAAACTGTATTAATTCCACAGTGTAGATGCATCCACAACCTGAGTCACAAATAATTTAAAGACCACCTTCATGCACAGGGGCAGCCATTGGGAGAGGGGAGATGATAACAGATCCCTATCTTTAACAGTTCAATTCATGCACACTAGAAGTGGTAGAAAGTTAGATAAGCTGATTAGCACTCTGAAATTTATTTGCTATCAAAGCATATTAATATTAAATGAAAACAGTTGTTGATGTTGTATATAACCTAAGGCTTTGTGTTTATATATAAGCCGTTGTGAATGCCTATCTGGCTGTGTAGTGTGGTATAAATATTTTACATAAAAGTACACTGTATCTATTTAGATACATATTAATGATAATAATGGTAATGAAATTCCTGTTCCCTAGTGTCTTCCAAAAACCCAACAAACTTGATATTTCTTATTGTTTATGTAATTATGGGGTAAGATTTCAGTTTTGAAATTATGTTCATAACTTTTTTTTATAATTGGAAATATTTGATATGGTATTTGTGGCAAGACTTTGATTTATAATATACATCATATTTTTTTAATATTATTGCAATGTTTTAAAGCATAATTATTGAAGAAATCAAACATTCTTCTCAAATTTTTAAATGGCTATTCAGCATTTTAAAAACATTTGTAATATGTTTTCACAGGCGTAAGCTCCATTGAAGTTGTCGTCCAGCATGGTTTAGCTACCCCTGAAGGCCTCACTGTTGACTGGATTGCTGGCAATATATACTGGATAGACAGCAATTTGGATCAAATCGAAGTAGCTAAATTAGATGGCACACTGAGGACTACATTAATAGCAGGTGCCATGGAACATCCTAGGGCTATTGCTTTGGATCCTAGATTTGGGTAATTAAATGTATTCTCAATGTTTATCTACAGTTGAACTGAGTATTTTTTTTCTAACATATGGTAGGATTTTTTTTTCTTTTGTCCTCATCTCTGGCAATAACTGAGTCTATTTTTAAAGAATGAGATAAAAGTCAGTTCTGGCAGATAGGCTTTTGGAATCTTAATCTGTGGACCTTATTACATTAGAATGTACTCTGTTTCTGAGACTGAGAACAATTTCGAACGGGTCCCATCACATGAAGCTTGCCCTATCCTGTCAGTATTCCATCGGAACCTGCAAAATGATGAAGAAAGGGATTATTTGCACATGGAACTCTAATTGTGCTTTTTGTAAAAAAAAAAATAAATTGCTGAAGTGCTGTTTTTATGTGTGATTGGGAAATTAGTATGCATCCTGTCAGCTTGTCATTCGGGAGCATGTCTGGGGGTGGAGTCTCCTGACCCTAGACTGTTCACGATGGAAGCAGCCACCCTTTCTGTTTTGGATGTTGAAAGGTAAATATCCCTGGGATTACCAAGAGATCTCACTTTTAACATTATTTTTAAATGAATTTTGGGTTTTTTCTCTCCCTCTGTTGTATCTGTATGTGTAACAGAACATTAATTAAAAGAAGTCAAGGAGGTAAATATTCATCTCTGTTTCAATTGTTTTTTTATATAACAGAAAAACTTGGCAATGTAATAAAAAAATGTGACACAGATTTTGTTGCTTCTTTTTCTTAATTAGCTATACTGCTACAAAAACCTCCTAAAATCTTTCCTCAGCTAGCATCACCTTGGCTCTTGGGTGGTCCCTTCCCATATAAGGGCACCATCTGCTCCAGCCACATAATCAGCAAATGCTTGAAAATAATATCTGTTATGCCTTCTGAAAAGGAGAAGTAGTGCTGACAGAAGCTGCTGTTATCTCTGAATTGCCTCAAGTCCGGCCTCATAAAATTGAATTACTAAACAAAGCAACATCATTTTTTTGTTTCATGACAAAAGGTAGTGATCAGACAAACCTATCACTGTGCAGATGCAGGAGTTTTTTCAAATCTCATGAGATGTACAGGCTATGTCACAGAGCAATTTTAGGGGGGGGGGGAGGAAATAAAATGTCACAGAGTGACATAGGAAGTCTTTCAAATGGATGTAAAGGAGCCAGCCTTCTATGGTGCGAGGTGTCAAAGTGCACTGTTGAGTGTAGTGGGGTCAGCATGGATCCTGTCTGAATACAGTGTGCAATCAGTCATTTAAAAAATACAGGATGCATACTGATTGAAACAGAGCATTTCTTAATGGTATAAGGTCCACAGATTCATTATATGGAATTTTGACTGTTTTATTGCCTAGCTGTTTTCTTAGTATTATTTCTAATGTCTAATTCTTCATATTTGTGGTGGTAGTTTGGCAAGCAATCAAGTTTTATAGAAAACGAATTTTCTCCTCGTCATCCTTCTTTAAAATGCTAGTCAAGTATGTCTATGCCTGACCCTTAGACAGTGCTCTGTTATCACTTATTTTAAATATTTCAGGGATTGCTTCACCCTCAAAATATCAAAATGGTTGTGATTAATTCCATGTGGGAAAATAAGCAATTAATTTTTCGAGATGGACGTTATCCACAATCAGGTTTTAAAATAAATAAATAAATAAATATTTTCCCACTAAATGATTATTCACTGCTAATAATTGAATGTGGTGCAATTACTTTTCCCATTGCTAATCAGTTGTATGTAATCATTTGTCTAGTTTGTGCGTATATTCAATTACTTTAGATTATATCGATTATATCGATTGTATAGATTGTATCTTAACTTTTTCACATTTATCCTGTCATTGTAATTTAAGACACTTATCTCAAAGTATGATGTGATATTATAAAGTAATATGGGAACATATGACACTGAAGAAAATTCAGTGTGCAAGCCAATATAAAAACAGTTTATTTACAAAAGTAGGTTAGGTTAAAAAAATCATTGTTTTTGGAACCAATATTAGGACTCCTCCACACTCCCTGCCTTCCTGCAAGTTTGGAGTAACTTTGTTCTGTAATCTAGTAAAGCTCTTGCAAATACAACATTTTGAAGCAGCCCAGGCTATAGCTGTTTGTTAACCCTATGACCCCCCCCCCCTTTTGTGAATATGTTTTAGTATTTGATGGGTGGAGGGCAAATTCCTGGGATTTTCAGAGCTCTGGGATAGATTGTCTGCATTCAAGATCCCAAATATGGCCATGTCCTATACTTTTCTTAAACTGATCCAGGTATGCAGGAAGTACGAGAGCCCCATAATAGTGAACATATTCCATTATGTCTGGGATACAAGGAATCTGGAGATAATACTGTTTCAATGTTTCCTGGTGACTCTGACTGCCACAAATATGTGTAATAGCATATGTGCCACAATATGCACAGCAACCATGGGGAATATTTAAGAATATCTTAAAAGAGGCACAACCTTAAAAATCCCATTAAGTGTGAAGGTTGTCGGATAATGCTGTTTTCACCAAAGATCATGTTTATCTTTACCAACAAAACAAATTAACTGTCTGTGTCCTGCCATATGTGTATGCATAACTGCCTGAATGTGAGCTTTAGCTCCATAATCAAATCAAAGGAAGTTTATTCAAATGTAGTATAGCTAATCTGAAGCTGAAGAACTAAGTATTGATATTGTTTTAGCTGCTTTTTATGGAAAAAATGTTTTTAAATGTAATGCTTACCCAAGGCTTCTGTTATAATTATACGTCTTTTAAAACTTCTGTTGGATAAATATTATTTATGTTCTTTCTTAATTTTTTTGATCTTCTAATGCAAACTTTATTTTCCCTTTTCTTCTTTATGTCACTCAGAATCCTGTTTTGGACAGATTGGGATGCTAGTTTTCCTCGCATTGAATCTGCTTCAATGAGTGGAGCAGGAAGAAAGATTATATATAAAGACATGGATAGTGGAGCATGGCCCAATGGCCTTACTGTTGATCATTTTGAAAAACGAATAGTATGGACAGATGCTAGGTAATAAATAAATAATACATACATTTTTGTTTATGCCATGTATACATTAGTCAAAGCAAAATTAGCAACTGCATTTTATTCTTTGTGTGACATTTCTGGAAGTAGCTATCCAGTTCCAATGTAATTGTGTCAGTACTCACTCAGAAAACCCAACTTTTGGATGAAATCATTTGAATGGTTAAAGGGAAATTGGAAGCCATGAACAAGACACTGGGCTGGATCTGAACTAATTCATATTTTAGAGTAGATTCAGGCTTAATACTCCATATTGGGGAATGGGTTTGAATTTTAATAATATGGAAGATGAGGAGAAGCTGATTCAAAAGCCATTTCTTGAAGCAATTAGTAATAGATTTTTAAAAAGGAGAGCAAGAAATCAGCTATGCCTTCATCTTTCTGCTTAATAAGGTAAACTATCTCAATCCTCTGTCACAGGAATGTTCTACACTGACCCAATTCACAGAGAACCAGAATTTTAAATTCAGCTCTCTGTGCAATTGTAGGCAATACAGGGGGCGAAAAGTCTGCCTTTTCAGTGAAAGGGTGGCAAGACACTCACCCACACCAAACCTTTGTTGACACAGGTGTGCATTGCCACCCATCCCCACTCGTTTCACTATCTGCAAAAACAATAAAAACTTCCTTACCAAGGACGGAGGCTTATCCTTACTCTGTGGGGTATTCTAAATGATGTGATAGAGGTCATGAGGGGGGAGAGAATTCCTCTTCCAGAGTTCTGTTGTATTATTTAGACACATCACTGAGCAACAAGAAGCCTCCAGCCTTGATAAGTAGAGGATAGCACTGCCATCCCACCTCCAGGGGCTGCCTGAGTCCATGGAAGCAGAATGGCTATGGGGGCTGCCCCTGAGATTGCAGTTCCCCGCACAACTATTCCCAGGTACTCTTATCCAAAATTTCATCTACCAAAACAGAGAAACACTGATGCATTGCATCTTTCAACATTTTTTGACCATCTTGTCACCACAAATGTCTGTTAGTTCATTCTGTATTTGAGTACTAGTATACAGGGCATTCATAGCTGCAGTTTCAAGATGACTTTTCAGGTCAGTGTCTCCTGATCTTTTTATTCAGGTAGGTTTTTTAAGAAGTTTTTAAAGATTATCAAGGGCTGCTGTGATTTTATATGCTTTTAATGATGTTTAATAGTGTTTTAATACTTTTATATTTGCATATTTTAAGTTGTATTGCAATGCTTTTAGTTGTGAGCCACTTTGAGTCTCCATATAGAGAGAAAAATGGGATATAAGTAAACATAATGATAATATTAATAGATACATATATACATATATTTTCACTTTAAATTGGAATAGAAATGACCTACACATTTTATTATGGTTTTACAAATTACATAAAATTCCTTTAATCTGGTACCTAGTTATTAAAAATACTTGATAGTTTAAGAGAAATTAAAATATAAACTTTTAAAGGAAGCACAAATGATCATAGTTGTTATATTCCTGAAAACGTCATACATTGTATTTAAACTTAAATTTCTCTTTCGGAGTTTAACCCGCGGAGACTGATTTTGATATCTTATGTCGTCTTCATGCTGCAGATCTTGATTAAATATCTGTGACGTCAAAACTCGGTCACTTCCACTATGTTGGCTATTGCTGCTGTTTCAATGTTAATTGGTCGGAAGATAGATAATGATAGTGTGAATAAATTATCGAAATTGAGATAGTGCTTGCAGTTCTGGAAGAATTTTAATTTTTGCTTCTTCTGGACTTAGCATGGGGATTTGGTTAACCAATTTAAATTTATTAGTAAACAAGAATTTTTTAAAACCTGATTATTTTTCGGGATTGGGGGTGTTGTGCCAGTAAAACATACACCCATTAGCTATGGGTTTGCATGCAGCTAACCAATAAATAAGCTTTATGGTTGTTTGAACCTTGGACTATTCTGCAGAGTAAATTTCAGATCCCCACTAAGTCATGGAAACCGACTGGGTGACCTTGGGCACGTGACACTCTCTCAGTGTCCTTCCTCCAGTGTTCCTTCCTCCAGATAAATCTAGCACAAAAGACCCCATGATAGGTTTCCTCAGAGTTGACATAAGTCAGAAATTATTTGAAGACAATTAAAATATCGTTTCTAATGATTAGAATCACAGAATCAAAGAGTTGGAAGAGACCTCATGGGCCATCCAGTCCAACCCCTGACAAGAAGCAGGAATATTGCATTCAAATCACCCCTGACAGATGGCCATCCAGCCTCTGTTTAAAAGCTTCCAAAGAAGGAGCCTCCACCACACTAGTGGGAGTTCTTGAGGTGGTGTTTTCATATTTCTACTTACATATTCCAGGGTTGGCACCTGAAACCATTTTCTTGCAAATCATGAGTTCTGATGCTGAAAGATACCCCTTCCCCAAACAATCAAATGACATCACACACTTTTCATATTTGTTTAAATATCCAAAGTAAAGTTATAAGGCATCTGAATTAACTACAACTTTCCCCCTCATATTTGATTTGTAGAACTATTGTGGTGAATGGGTTTTTGTTCGGACTATCTTTCAGGTCAGATGCTATTTATTCAGCACTGTATGATGGGACTGGCATGATTGAAATTATACGAGGTCATGAATATCTTTCTCACCCCTTTGCCGTGTCCTTATTTGGGAGTGAAGTATATTGGACAGACTGGAGAACAAACACATTATCAAAAGCCAATAAGTGGACAGGTCAAAATGTTAGTGTGATACAAAAAACTAGTGCACAGCCTTTTGATCTGCAAATCTATCACCCAAGCCGACAACCACAAGGTAAATTCACATTTCTGATAAACTGTTTGCTATAATATTTCTCATACTTAGTTTAGATGGTAAATATTAGCAATGTGAATGGAAATCTCAGTGGTTATGATGATGACTTATTGATTAATTTGACTTATATTGATATGGAAATACAGCTTATGAAATGATTTCAATGTTTCTTCCTTTGTGGTCCTTGTCTGCATAAAATGGGAATTTCTGAATAACTTTATTATTATCTTAATGATTTCTTTTTTTTTTTGAGGGGGTGTGGTATTTAGTATGAAAATAACTTCTGTCCAAGAGTATACAAAATATAATTGAAATAATTCTATTCAAATAATTATTTTGTTAGGCAGCATCTATTGCATGGGTTTCTTTTCAAGGTGTATACCAACTTTTTCCTCTCCAAAAGCATTAAGGCAGGAGAAGTGAAGGTAACTCATTAGTTCTGGGTGGTGGTAACACTTAAGGCAACCAGTCTCCTGGGTGTAAACCCTGTTGTGCTTTAGCGGTCACCTTTCTAAATTGTGGGAAGCTGACCTCTATTTTCCCACAACTCTCCTGTTATGATTTCTATGCCTTTAAAAGATACCTAATTGGCAGAAATGAAATAGTCACAGTTTTTAGGAGAAGAGAAAATACACTGCTGGGAAAACTGACACCTGTTGTATTTTGTCAGCCAAGCTGCTTTCAAAGGCATAGCAAAAAGTAATAGCTTAAAAAAGAAAAGAAAAAGAAAAAGAAAGGAAGAAGGATGTTGTTGTTATGTGCAAGCTGAAACTGAAAGAAAGACAGAAAGATTGTCTGGAAATGTGGGTCAGTCAGGGCCATCTGTGCCTGTAAAGGAATACAAATAAGGAAATGACTCTATTATTATAGGGTCCACTCTTTGTATATGGCTCAATGGTGGGCAGCCATAGGTCAAAAATGTTAAGCCTCCAGTCTTACTATGTAATTTCTGCCATAAAACAGGCTGTTCCGAAGCACAGATACATCTCCCAAAACACTAACACATGGAAAAGGATGGCCGACTATTGATTGTGACAGGATGTGCTATTAAGAGCATGTTGTGCCATCTTAAAGCTCTATCTGTCTCAATCTTCTATTTTATATTCATTTGCTGATTCATATGCCAGCTTTCTTCTGGAATCAGGATCAATGAAACTCACAGATAAGACTAATTAAAACCTAATAATAATAATAATAATAATAATAATAATACGTCTTAAAAGAGTGCTTCTATACTGTAGAATTAATGTGGTTTGACAACATTTTAACTGCTATGAAATCCTGAGAGTTGTAATTTTACAAGTTCTTTAACCTTTTCCACCAAAGAGTGCTGTTGCTTCATCAAACCAGAAATCTCAGGATTCCATAGCACTGAACCATGGAAGATAAAGTGGTCCAAAACGGCATTAATTCTGCAGTGTAGAGGCAGTCTTGCAGTCCCTTTTACCCAGCTGTGGAATCACACTACCAAAAATACCCAGGACTACAAAGCCTATACCAGAGTCCACATTAACTATAAAGCTGTCAATAGAGGCTCACTTATATGACAGTTCTTCAAAGCTGTTCCAACAGGAGCTTGGTGGTGGGCCCTTAAATATTGGCTCAGGGTCAGTGTTTTCAGACTAGCTCAGATCTGATTCACCACCTTTCCCATGATGATTACACTAGCACAGTGGTTCTCAACCTGTAGGTCCACAGGTGTATTGGCCTACAACTCCCAGAAATCCCAGCCAGTTTAYAGCTGTTAGGATTTCTGGGAGTTGAAGGCCAAAACATCTGGGGACCCACAGGTTGAGAACCACTGCACTAGCAACTAGTTCAAGCTTAACTCTTAAAAATCTCTTCTATTGCCCTTTCTTCATCCCTCTTATCTCATGTGGGTTATGACATGGCACTGAAATCTATTAAACAAAGACTGTGGGACATTGCCTTCTGGAGGCTGTGTTCTCACTCATATGTTTCCTGTTTCCCAAGTGCCCTAAGTATACGCTATGCGGGGCCTCTCCATGAAGCAAATCATCTTATGAATTTGACTATAGTTAAATATCACTGCCTGTTATCTAAGGCAAGGTGCAATGTGTTCCCATCTGAAGTACTTCAAGGTAAATTTGCAGGAGTCCTATACAATCCAAGACTTGCCCATATAATAACCAGGATGTGGAATGTATGTATCACATCATATTGCCATGCAGTTTTTACAAGCAGGCTCAGTACATATTATTAACCACTACTGAAACCAATTCCATGTAAAGTTTTTGAAGATATTTAGTTCTAGGAAAAATGTTCTAGTTCACTACAACTGTGGCCTTACACCACAAGTTTTAAAAAAAAGACTATCATGTTTGAAACTCTATATAGTTCTTTGTGTAGTCTGTTAATAATTTGTAGCCTGTACTGATGAGTTTGCTTTGAGAAATGGTAACGAGGAAAAGCTATTGTTCTGTCTAATGAGATGCAAACTTTTATGAATAATCTTTTAAAAATGGAAAAGAAAAGCTCCTTAATTTATTTTCTTTGGAATTACCAATGATTTTTCTTTTTCTTTGACTCACACTAAGAGGCATGTATATAGTCTTACAAATTATCTTTCTTCCTTCTCATCACCGTCCTCCTCCTCCTCCTCCTCTTCTTCTTCTTTTTCGATGTGGTAGTAGGAAAGCATCTCAACACAGACTTTATTTTATCTTTCTGAGGAAAAAGTTGTCTCAGCAACAAGGTTTGAGGCCAGGACTTTAACATAGATATCCCCCAGCTATTTGGGAATTTGACCTATATATCCCCCAGATAGGATAAAACCCTGGGTGTAGGTTGTGTCACGTTGGCTTCTCTACCATCTTTGAGGACTTGACACTTTAATTACATTGTTATTCTTGCTTCACCAGTGAGAGCTTTGAGTGGTAGAGCACTTAACTTGGATTCAGGCAAGCTGTCATCAAAGGTTTACAGTGCTTATTTCTTTTGTCTGAATGTTTGAGTTTATTTACAGATATGTTGCTTGAGTGTACTTGGAGATACTCTTTAACACTCCAGTGGGCACTGGGAGTCACTGGCCTAGATCAAATCTCTAAAGAGATTGCTTACCAAAAGGCACTTTCCAATGTTTTACTCAAAATGACAGTTCCTCTCCAGAGATGCTTATGTCTTCTGCTCCTACCTAGTTTGCTCTTTCACTCTCCTTGGTGGGAAATAAGGATGAGTGAATGAAACATGTCCTAACATTCCTGGGTCATTTCCCAGGTCCATCTACACAGTTATTATAATGTAGATTGAACTGGATTATGTGGCAGTGTAGACTCATATAGTCCGCTTCAATGCAGTTCAAGCTGCTTTATATGAGTCTACATTGACCATATAATCCAGTTCAAACTGCACTATATTGCAGTATAGATGGAGCTCCAATAATTTCCTTTAATAAGGTGTATTGGGCAATGCAGACAATGACAATGAAAAAGTCTTCAGGTTCCATTAACTGATTTTTAATCTTACTATAATATCACAGTCGTAACATCTATCATCTATCTATCTATTTATCTAGCTAGCTAGCTATGAATGATACATGTTGGGCTGTTCCTATCATGGTTCATGAAAGCCTGGGACCTCAATATGAAAAGAAGTACTTTCAAAATGGTTACTCCAATGTCAAAGCATTATATTTCAACATGGGAAAAGGTTACATTTGCACAAAAAGTTACGGACAGTTTAATGAGCTATCAGGTTAGCAGGTTTGACTACTCATTTTGAGACAGAAACAAATCTGAAAAATAATTCTGCAAATGGAGAATAACTCATTGGGATTTATGTTGTGGGACCACCACCTTGCAAGTGACTAGGGTTAGGGGCCGTCTGTGCTTTGGGACAGATATCTAGTAGTAATCCTTTGAAACTGTGTGCTCCAACTTTTTAATGGACAGTTTGTGGTAGGAGAGGTATAACAATTTCACATCAGGTCCATCTTCTTGAATCACCCTGTATATACTGTACCTAGCTGGCTATTGAAGTTTGCAGGACAGGTCCCCCCCCTATGTCCCAAAAGTGGGATCAAACTAAAATGGCAAGATATGTGGAAGATTTTCTCAGCTGTGGTTGGCACCAGCATTGCTTTCCTTACGGTGCCGAGTAAAAACATAATATTTTTATTAAAACCTTTAGGGACTAATTTATTTCAAAGTGTACATTTACATGATTTGAAATTGTAGCTTTTAAAGTCTATTTAACTGTTACTATGATTAATATGTTTTTTCTCTTGTTTAAGTTATTTATGGTTTTAATCTGGAGGTGTTTACAATTGTTCATACAATACTGTAGGGTATCCTGAAATCCCATTATAATGTATAGGATAGAGCTGTTTGAATAAACAGAAAAAAATATAACAGACTATCTCTCAGTGTGATAGTATGTTGTGATTTTCAGTTCACAAGTATTCCTGCCATGTCCCATGTTGTTCTTTCTGATGGATGGTAAAAGTGATGGATGGTAAAAGTGATTACTGGAATATAGGGGAATATTACCTTTCCCCCATTCCCTTCATCATATATGTAGATATGATGAACTTATTCATGAAATAAGCATCTCAGTTTATGTTTGTCATTCCAGCTCCCAATCCTTGTGCTGCTAACAATGGTAGAGGTCCATGCTCTCATATGTGTCTCATAAATCACAACAGAAGCGCTGCATGTGCATGCCCTCATCTCATGAAGCTGTCTACAGACAGAAAGACATGCTATGGTAAGTTTTCTATGTATTTCTTTGTTTATTTATTTGTTCCTATAAGGATCTCTATTGATCCCTTTTGATTGTGACTCCAGTTGAACAAACACACGGTTAAATGTATCTAGCTTGTCAGGCTTTGTTAATTATTTCCTTGTTTACTTTTACTTTTTTCTTTCTTTTTTGAGTGTAAACAATGTTGTTGTTGTTTTTATTTCAAATGTAAACATAGAGACTGATTCTGTAAACTTACTTTGCAGAAAAAATGTTTGGGCAGTGGTAAACATAAGATCAGAAAATGAAAAAGGAGGTAAATGGAATAATGGGAAAGTACATGCATAGTAGTTTACTTGAAACCTATTTTTTCTGCAGATGACTTCATAAATAGCTTTTAAAATAGACATGTTCTAAGAAATTTGATCCAAATACTGTGCCACAATATAGTTGCAGATATTTAAATAACTCTGAAATATCTGCTGCTTATCCTTCTGTAGCTGTTTTAAAATAAAATAAATATGGTGATAATTTATTATCATTATGTAATGACATCTAGTGGATAAAAACTAGAAATCAATATTACATAACCTGAATATGTTAAAGAAAATGGTATTCATTTCTGATTTTTTCTATTATTTTATTTATTAAATATATTAGAAACAGTCTGCTGCCTCTTTGTTAGATTTTACCTTCAGTGTACAAAAACAACTGTGACTAAGTTTCTTTTTCGCTTTGGTGAATTAAATATACTAGTATGCACATCCCCTTGCATTGAAGACAACACTGAGGGTGCTTCCAGACAGACCCAAAAATGTGGGGCCTGTCAGGCTTTTACCTGAGGTGTCCAAAACAAATTCCTGGAGATGCCGGAGACAACAGTGGAGAAGAATAGTGAGGGAAGCTACAAATAATAACTTCCATTCTACTTTCCTGAATCCAGTCTCTTTATACAAACATTATTGTTAAGTGCCTATATGTTGTTTTTGACTAGAAATGAGGGACTTCAAAAAATATCCYATTTTTCTTCGTGGTCTCTGCGAATGCACACTTGTGGAGAGACTGCGCCTGCGCGGGCTCCAACGGAAACTTCTGCAGTTTAAACTTTWCAAGTTTTGGCGGTAACCCCGCCCAGCCCCGGCAGGGGATAAAARGGCGCCCCGCGCATACCCTCGCAATTCCTTTTTTTCCGCCGCACGGCTCACTTCAGCTCTTCTGAGATGTCAACGACCAGATTTAAAAGAYGCACGAATTGTCCGAGAAAAATTCCTGATTCGGACAAGCACGCTCTTTGCCTGTTGTGTCTCGGCGAGGYGCACATTACTTCTTCGTGCTGCCATTGTCAAGCTCTGATGGCACAATCCCGTAAGAATCGGGTTCATCGGCTTCGGTACCTTCTGTATCAGCAGACGTTGGCTCCGGTACCCTCAACATCGACACCGGCGTCGAYGTCAACTTCRGTATCCAGGCCATYGATAACAACATCGGCCAAGGCGTCACGGCCGTCGACGTCAAAGGAGGCGTCRACTTCGAAGTCCGTCGATCCCTCGGCCCAGGCCGAGCCTCACCAAACAAGGGCGAGAAAGGCCGCACAGAAAAGACCGAGGTCAGCTATGTCGACAGCTTCTAAGGCCTCGGTGTCGACAGCTTCTAAGGTCGAGAGGCCAATGAAGCAGACGGGACCATGCACAGTAACAACCGAGACCGTGCGCATCCGGCACTCTTCGACCAGCTCGGTGGCATCAGTGAGGTCAATTAGGTCCACCAGGTCGACATCGGTGACTCCGCCATCTTCCACGGCAGTCCGCATTGCCTTTCGCTGAGCTCAAGAAGAATCTCGGCGTGCCTCTGCCTCTTCCTCCGTCCCGCCCACCCTGGGCAAATCTCTTTCTAAGACGGCACAGCCACCAGCGAAGAAGAAGAAGACGATGCCGCCTCCATCCTCATCTTCTTCTTCCTCTCGAAGACCGACCACTGCCTCTTCGGCCACCTCGTCTGCGAGGTCATCGCCGATACAGCCGGCTCAACCTCAGCCGATCTCCCAGCCTGCTCGGGAGATACGTCGGTCGCCAGAGCCGCCTATTGAACAATCTGATTCCCCTGTGATTTCAGTGGACACGGTGATCGAGGCGCCCGTTCGTCTTGTGACTGCCAGACAGGAGCTTTTCCCATCTGTGACAGCCAGACAGGAGACCGTGACAACTGTGACAGCAAGACAGGAGACTATTCCGGTAACGGAGACACCGGAGAGAGGCAGACAGACTATGAGGCTGGCGCGTGCCATTCAGGCCTCAACATCCAAGTGCCCTCCAACCGCTTTGCCAGAGCAGCCAGATTGGGACGTTTCCTAGTCCCCTCCTCCCCAGTCCATTACGTCCGAGGAGGAAGAGGAAGATGGCGAGTTGCCGGGATCGGTACACTCAGGCTTGGTTCTATCTCTCGGGATCAAGAGATCACCTACCCACGACGCATACGAGGTCGATCCGCCATCCCCTACAGACAATGTGCGAGCCTTTGCAGATCAAATGGTTCGCATGGCAGACGCCTTGGGCTTGGAGGTCAAGCAGACTTCCAAGGCAGTACAGGACCCAGTTTTCAAGAGGGTGCAGTCAGAATCTCCACCTGCTACTCTCTTGCCTTTCCTACCCTACCTCCTCGAGGTCATCCAAGGCTCTTGGAAAACCCCTTCCTCCATTCCACCTACATCCAAAAGGATCGAAGCGTGGTACAGAACAGATGATGAGGGCTTGGAGTGGCTCAAGCATCACCCCGATCCCAACTCGGTGGTGGTAAAGGCGGCCCAGGCATTCGGGAGGCAATCGTCGACGCCGTCTGACCGAGAAGGGAAAAGGTTCGACGCCGTTGGCAGAAAACTATACTCTGGCGCTCTTTTGCTGGCTCGGATGGCTAATTATGGCGCGTGCATGGGCACATATCAGCAGTTACTTTGGGAGAAAGCGGCACCGTTTTTCCAGAGGATGTCTGAGGAGGATCGTACCGTCCTCTCCACTTTGGCCCAAGAGGCGAACTCCCTTGCGCATCATCAGATGCAGATGGCCAAGCACACTGGGGACACTGCCGGCAAAATGATTGCCCACGCCGTGGCTATTAGGAGGCATGCTTGGCTCCGGTCTTCTGGCCTCTCAACATCTTCGTGGCAGGTCATTGAGGACCTCCCCTTTGACGCCCTCGGTCTCTTTAATGCGGGGACGGACAATAAGCTTAAGTCGAATCATGACTTTAAGACTTTGGCTACCAAGTGCGGGTTTGAGAACCAGCCCCAGGCACAGAGGACAGGGTGGTTCCAATACAAGCGTCGACACACGGTCCCGTATCGTACAATCCAGTACCGCCAGTCTTTTCGTCCCCTGCACCCATCCCAACAAACCCATCCTCAACAACCTCAACAGCAGCGCAAGCAACCCCAGCAGCAGCGCTCGAGGTCCCGCCAGGCTTCAGGAGGCAACCAGGCCAGACGTCGCATTTGACGCCCTAATGGACGATACCGCTTGCACATCCGATACCGATGTTGTTCCCATGTCCCTCCCGATGACACCCACCCTCGTTCTTCCACCCGGTCCTACACCATTTGGCGACCGCCTGACAAATTTCTTCCCTGCATGGCAAGATATCACCTCAGATGCATGGGTTTTAAAAGTTGTCAGTGAAGGTTATGCGTTGGAGTTCGAAGAACTCCCGCCAATGGGACAAATTGTCGATACTGAACCGTCTTCGACAATTCTGGCAGAAGTCGAGATGTTGCTTCTCAAAGGGGCCATTTCTCCCCTCCCGGACTGTCAAAACAATCGGGCCTTTTTCTCCAGATACTTTACTGTCCCAAAGCCGGACGGCTCCCTTCGTCCAATCCTCGATCTCAGAGACCTAAACTCCTTCATCAAGCCCCAAAGGTTCAGGATGGTGACGGTATCGTCCATACTTCCACTCCTCAGACACGGAGAATTCTTCGCGTCCGTCGACCTCCGGGAAGCCTATTTTCATCTCTTGGTCAGAAAACACCACAGGCGCTTCCTGGCTTTCAGGATAGCGGGACAGACTTATGCCTTCAACGTGCTCCCATTCGGGCTCGTGACGGCACCGAGAACTTTCACCAAATGCATGTCGGTGGTCGCGGCAGCCCTCAGAAGGGAAAAAAATCCGCATTTTCCCATACCTGGACGACTGGCTGTTGGCGGCTCGCTCTCCAGGCCTTCTGAGACTCCAGGTGGCAAAGACACTTTCCCTCCTCGAAGATCTGGGTCTCCAGCTGAACAGGGAGAAATCCCATCTAGAACCCACCACATGCATAAAGTTCATAGGCGCCATGTTCGATTCTCTCTCCCAATCTGTTTACCTCCCAGAGGAGAGATTCAAGGCTCTGCGCGCCAAGGTGCTCAAAGTTCGTCGGTCCCGAGTAGTTCCAGCGAAGCAACTACAGGTCCTCCTCCGACACATGGCCTCCACGGTAATGGTGACCCCGTTGGTGAGGCTTCGCTTCCGTCCCCTGGAGATGGTTCCTGGATCACTTCAATCCAATGCGGGACAGCGCCTCAAAACGTCTGCTGGTCCCGAAGTCCCTTGAAAAACTCCCTGAACTGGTGGATGACCCAGCATCATGTCTGCAAAGGCATTCCCTTCCATCCAGAGCCTCCATCCGTCACCATCATGACAGATGCCTTGATGTTCGCATGGGGATGCCATACAGGAGAACTCTCGGTCCACGAGCTGTGGTCCTTAGAAGAAAGACAATGCCATATAAACTACTTGGAGCTGCTGGCGATCTTCAAGGCCCTAAGAGCATTCACCCTTCTCGTCACCGGGAAATCTGTCCAAATCCTTACRGACAACATGGTGGCAATGTTTTATGTAAACAAACAGGGCGGCACGGGTTCGAGAAAGCTGCTCAAGCTGTCGCTGGAGCTGTGGGAGTGGTGTGTGGCCAGGTCGGTGTYGTTCACAGCCCTGCACCTTCTGGGCGAGACCAACGTCGAGGCGGAYGCRCTAAGCAGAACAAAATCGACCTCGCACGAGTGGAAGCTGAACCCCGAYGAACTGACCAAAATTTTCACAGACTGGGGTCTTCCGGCTGCCGACCTTTTTGCGTCACCTCTAAATGCTCAGCTGCCACAGTTCRGCGCACGCCTGGCTCTGAAYGCGGTACCGGGGTGTCTCRGAGACGCGTTTCTTCTGGATTGGTCGAAGCATCTGCTCTACCTCTTCCCAACCCTTCCCGCTCATCCCGAGGGTGATCGAGAGGATCCAGTTGGCACAAACGAACTGTATCCTGATAGCGCCGGAATGGCCACAACAACTGTGGTTTCCAGTCCTCCTCCAGCTATCCGGGGACCAGATGCGACGCCTTCCACTTCGACAAGATCTCCTCTCCCGAGAAGGAGGCCAGCTTCTCCATCCCGACCTTGCTTCCCTTCACCTTTCAGCGTGGAGGATCCAGTTCTAAAGACGCTGTGTCCAGGCGTCCTCCCTATCTTGGCTGCAGCTCATAAACCGGCGACGAAAAAGTGCTACTCGGCGTTCCTCAACCGGTTCCAGGCCTTCCTCTCTGAAAAGGGAATAAACGACCCTCGGCCGTCGATACTGTCAATTCTCTTGTTCTTACTGCACCTTACCGAGCGGGGACTATCGCTGTCATCACTGAAATCACACTTGGCGGCCATCTCGTGGCAGCTTCAAAGAAGAGGAGACGCCTCTCTGTTTAAGGACAGCTCGGTGAAATCCTTCTTGAGAGGGTTCAATAATCTCCATCCTCCAGTTTGTCCTCCGACTCCCGGCTGGAACCTCGACCTCGTGCTTGCACAGCTCGTGCAATCCCCCTTCGAGCCCTTGGCGTCGATCGACCTTCGACTTCTTTCATGGAAAGTGGCCTTTTTGGTCGTGATCACCTCAGCCCGTAGACCGTCGGAACTGGCGGCGCTGAGGGTTGATGAACCCTATTTGGTTTTCCACGAGGATAGGGCGGTTCTCCGCACAGATGTGACATTCCTACCCAAAGTTGTATCCCCTTTCCATGTTAACGAAGACATTGTTCTCCCTTCCTTCTTCCAGTCTCCCTCGACCCCTGTGGAGAGGAGACTCCATATGCTCGATGTGCGGAGAGCATTTCTGTGTTACAGAGATAGAACTGCTCAGTCCAGAAGGACTCAGCGACTTTTTGTGACATATGCCCATGACAAACTGGGCCTGCTTATCACGGCACAGTGCCTCTCCCACTGGATCACTTCGACCATCAAGTTGTGCTACCAGCTGGCTCAACAACAACCCCCCTCGGTTGTCCGGGCTCGGTCAACCAGGGCAGTAGCGGCCTCTACTGCCTTTCTAAACGGGATTCCCCTGGACGCTATTTGCAAAGCGGCCATTTGGAAAAGCCCTCAGACATTTGTATCACATTACAGATTGGATACCAGGTGTACACCTGACATGGCCTTGGGAGGGCAATTTTGGCATCGTGTCCGCCATGAATGTTTGCACCAAGTTGTATCGTCGATACCGGGGGCCTTTATGGTACCGTACACTCCCTTTGTTCTAATAGATTGCATTGTAATGTCTTACTGTGACCACGGGTTGCTCGAATAGAGCTTGTCACTGAAGTTACTGAATGTACTTGCACTTGTTTGAATGTGTTATACTACTTGCCTGGTGAACAGGCATCTTTGCACTCTACATTACACTCGAGTCCCTTTGGGCTCGTCGCTTTCGTAGTGCCTTTCGCCAATGTGTTTTTTCTTATTGCCAAATGTTTATGCAACTACTTGAAGTGCCCTCATCGCAATGAGTGTGTTGTTTACCAGGGGTTAACATGTTTATGTAACTGTCTTAAGGAGTGCCCTCATCTGATGAGTGACTGTTTACTGTGAATTGGCCATCTACATGTGGCCAGGGAGGATCACGTACTCCCATACGTTAATGCACTGTACCCTTCTTATGAAGTGAAAGTAATATGCTGTTCATGACTTTTGCACTTAATAAAATTGTTTGGCACTTTATTTGATGGTCGGTTTGCCTTCTTCCCACCTCCGGGACCTAAGCTTGCTAGTCTCCACAAGTGTGCATTCGCAGAGACCACGAAGAAAAATGGTAGGTTACATACCTGTGACCATCTTTCTTCGAGTGGTGCTCTGCGAATTCACACTAACCCGCCCGGCCTCCCTTCAGACAAACATCCAATTTCTCATTGCCTTAGCGGCGTAGGAATTGCGAGGGTATGCGCGGGGTGCCCTTTTATCCCCTGCCGGGGCTGGGCGGGGTTACCGCCAAAACTTGAAAAGTTTAAACTGCAGAAGTTTCCGTTGGAGCCCACGCAGGCGCAGTCTCTCCACAAGTGTGAATTCGCAGAGCACCACTCGAAGAAAGATGGTCACAGGTATGTAACCTACCATTATTAAAATTATACTCTGCTCTTACAGATGGAGGGAATTGGCTTTCTTCATTTAAACAGCAGAATGATGAATTCAATAAGTCTTACTTTCATAGCTCATGCATTTCACAAATAACATGTTTCTTGGATTAATTCAAATTTTACTGTTAGCATAAACTTTTATATCTTTTAACAGGATTTGTCAGTTCCCTTAGATTTTAAATTATATCTTACTGATTTGTTGTTGTTTGAAAGCAAACATGCATGATTTTCTGTAAAGTAAAGGGACAAAGGGAGCTATCTTTGGTTATATATGCTTCTTGGCTTTTCATTTTTCACATAAATACAAGTGTACTCAAGTTACATATCTGTCTCTATCTATATTTATATCTCTGAACATTGTAATTTTTATTAGAGCAACCAGGTTAAAGAAGTATTCATAATTCAATTCTGCAGATTTGAATCTAAGAAGTAACACTTCTTATTTTCACAGAAATGAAAAAATTTCTTCTTTATGCAAGGCGTTCAGAAATAAGAGGTGTTGACATAGAGAATCCATATTTCAACTATATAACAGCTTTCACAGTTCCTGATATCGATGATGTAACAGTTGTAGATTTTGATACTGCAGAAGAACGCTTATACTGGACTGATGTGAAGACACAAACAATAAAAAGGGCCTTCATTAATGGCACTGGTTTAGAAACTGTCATATCAAGAGGTAAATCATAAATCATTAATATTACTAACTTTTACATGGAATAGTGTCTGCTTTGCTGGCAAATGTTATGATCCTGTTTAATAAAAATAACTATTAATTGCGCCAAATAGCAACATATATTTGGCTGCTTCTTTGAAAAAGACTTGTAGTTATTTGAAAACGAATTAGATTTTGAATTCTAATGGTCCTCATAAAACTATAATATGTATTGACTTGACGAAGACAAGAGCTTAATCAAAGGATCTACAGTATACTACGAATTTCTGCAAGCACAGTACTTCCATTGGTGGTAGTAGGTGTTCTGTCGCCACTGGGTCCAAACAAAATGTCTTTATTCTATAGAACGCACACTTTAAACCCAGTGGGAAGCCGGGGTGCCCGAAGAGAGATTGTTAGAGACTTCCAAAAGTAATGGGCCTTAGAGTCTTTAAAAGTACAACAGTCTTTATTAAGGAACAAATCTTCAAACAAAACTTCACGGCTTTACTATTCAAGTCTTTAAGAGACTGGCACTAACTTGGTTTGACTGTACTATCTCATAAGGAAGAACTCTTTATAATCCCTCCCAGGCCGTCCATCACCTAGGCCTCGCTGGTCTGGGTAATACTGCCGATCCCCAAATGCGTCTGGAAACCGAGTAACCTACCAGACGAAGCTAGAAGATGTTTAGCTGGAATTCTGTGGTTCTGCAGTGATGTCCTGTGGAAACTTCAGGGCTGTTTTCCCTTCTGGTGCTGTGAGGCTGAGAGGCTGCGAGCTCTCAGCCAGAGCATTTGGGACCTTTTCCTTCTGTTTCCCTGGAACTGGATGGTCACTGGATGACCCCTGGATGGTCGCTGGATGGACCCAGGATCACCTTTGGATGATCCCCGGATGGCTATTTCTATTTCCCCGGAAGGTTTTGAGGAATGAAGCCTTTCCTACGGGACTAGCTGATCTGCGTCCTATAGACTGGCTTCCTTGTGTGACTGAAAATAGGCCCCTTCCCTCCAAAAGGCAAAAAGGGGGCGGGACCAGGGATCCTAACTATAACTGGCAGGTGGCTTACCCTATAAATGCAAATTATAACAGGAAACCCCCTGCTGCAAAATCCCAAGCATGGGTTTGCACACAAACATATAAACACAGCAAATAAATCTGGAGCTCCTGGAACAGCTGTTCCAGAACAGTAGGAGATATTTTTGTCAATTCCTCTCCAAATGATGATGATGATTTCTTACCTGCCTCTCCTCACAGCTCAAGGTGGGGTACAACACAGCTAAAATATAATACAATTAAAATGCAGATGTTAAAATACATAGAACAAAGATTGACACCAATACTAACAAAATGTAAAGGTAAAAGCCATAGTTTACAGTTGACTCTATTTAGCAATAGTACTTATCCTTAAGTCATTTAATAGGAACCGCATTTTATAATTTGCTTGTTTTCTTTGACTGCTGTTATAAAAGAGAAAAAGAGGAAATGTATGTTTATCCCCTGCCTTCTTGCCACACATAACCCATCTTAAAGCTGTTTTTATATTCTTTACTTTTCTCACAATGCAATTTAGTAATTTCACACATTTGCCAGAAAACTCTGTAAACAATGCCTGACAAAAGTCAGAAAATTGGGTCTTCCTCTTTATAACTTCAGAGTTAGTTTGGTGCTGTATGTACAAAACAAACTGGAGATCAAATATGTTTCACACTCATAAAATACATTAAATAATTGAAAAGGCAGACATCCACATTTCAAAAACAAAGTTTTATTTTAGATAGATAATTTGGGACGGGACAATACATCACCCTTTTAAAAAATCTGTTTTACATTTTACAGATATTCAAAGCATTCGAGGATTAGCAGTTGATTGGTTATCACGTAATTTATATTGGATTAGCTCAGAATTTGATGAAACACAAATTAATGTTGCACATTTAGATGGCTCTTTAAAAACCTCAATTATACATGGAATCGATAAACCACAGTGCCTTGCTGTTCACCCAGCGAAAGGGTAAGGTATCATTATTATCACAGTTCTGTTATGTCATTGTAAACCTAGTTTGCATTATTTTGCATATGACTTTCTCATGGGAACTAGAGACTCCATGAAAACAGTATATTTTATGACATCCGGAATATTAAGGAATTAATCTTTCCCAGAAATGTGGAGAAAGACATTGCAAGCAAGCATCCTGTACACATTTTGTCTTCATTAGGGAGGTACCTCCATGCTGTTTTAATGCTTGCTCCCTGTCATTTTATCAAAAAAAGGTTGAATTACTTTTCAGAAGTTATATGATACATCAGAATCTGAAAGAGGCAGCGATATTTTACAATGTATTGAATCAAACTATTAAAAAGTCACAAGAAAGTCCATGTTCTGTCAAAAAAATGTTCTGCAGCAGATGCCAGCGTCTCCCAGATTCAGAGTGAAATCAGCCCTGCAAAATGTGAATTGCATTATAGAAAATCAACCCATAATAAGGAATGCCAAAAACCATCCCAAGGGCACAGCTGGATGCCTGGGGGATAATTGACCTCCTGGGATGGGTAATTGGTTGTCTCTGCTGTTGATTGCCACTTTCTTTTTTCCCCACCATATATGCTTCCAGTCTGCTGATTCACATCTCTCCTGGAAATGAGGGGAGGGGAGGGAATCCTGCAAAGTGGTTTGATGCCAGTTTCCATGATAAATGTAATCACCTTCCTGGCCTTGAACTGGTTCCAGGCATGGCAATCCAATCACCCGTGCAGCAGAACCGGTTCCTCCCAAACTGTTTCCAGTCTGGATTATATGTTCAGTGTAGAAGTGCTCAGGGTCATTTTATGGTTGCCTTAAATTGGAAATGACTTAAAGACACACAACAACAACAACAACAACAACAACAATAACAACAACAACAACAACACAGCAGCAGCAAACCTAATTATTGTATTAGATATAGTAACATTTATTTAAAGAAGTAGTGCACATTCAGAGAACTAATTTGACTTTTTACAACTGAAATTTTAAAAATGTAAATAATGGTGCAGGTGTCTGAAAGGTTTTAGAAGAGAGACCTGCTAGTATAGTGGCACTCAGTTACAACTCGGCTTCAACTAAACAAGATTTGATAGGATGGTGTAATCTTCTAACCTGATGATATTTAAATGCAGCTGTATTTTTAATATTTTTATTTGTTTGTTTATCATTAAGGAAACTTTACTGGACTGATGGAAACACTATTAATATGGCAAATATGGATGGCAGCAACAGCAAAATACTGTTTCAGAATCAAAAAGATCCCATTGGTAAATACTGCTATAATTACGTTCATTTTAAGAAAATCACCGTCTTTTTATAAATATTCTTTAAGGAAAAGTTTTTTCGTGCAATGTTTGAAATTGAAGTAAGAAAAATTAATTCACTTTTTTGCCTACCTGGGAATGCAAAAGCTGAGAGGTTATCATGCACCTTGAAGGCCAATGCACAGGTATTTGGTTTGATGAATAATAAGCTCGCAAATTCTGAGTGTGGCAGTTATAGCTAGTTTTACTACAAATTCCACAGAGGAAGATTATATTATTAGAATGGCACTAAGTGTTGTGAATTATTCATAATTATATCTTTGATATCTACAAGTCCTACTGTGTGGAACAAGAGTAGATATGTTTTTCCCATTGGGAAATAAAATTACAACATTATTCATTTTTATTGCATAATTTATTATTTTTTTGCATAGTCTCATGTTTGCCATGTCTAATACTTAATTAAATTAAGTGCAATGTACTATTGAGCATGACAATTACCAAATCCTCTCCTTTGCTATTCCTGTAGTTTTAAGAATTTAAAATAGTGAAAAAGTTTTAAAATAAGAGTATGGAAGATTCTTAATTTTTTGAAAAAAGGTAAGTCCACACAAATACACACACACACACATGAAATGCATATTTTGTAAACATATGTATGTAGGTAATCTTTAACAGTAATTTTCTCCATTTTCTGGAGATGGATGTATGTGATGTGCGTGTAGTGAGCAATAAATAACGTCAATAAAGCAATAAATAAATAAAGCAATAAATAAATAAATAAAATTCTTCCAGATATTTTTATACAGCCAAAGTGGCCAACTAGTGCCATTTTGTAGAATCTTTAAACTTAAATCATAATACAACAAAACATTTCTTGACTGATTCCAATGATGTGTGGAGATTCCAATTTGCTAGTTTTCTTAACTAGCTTTACTTGGTTCTGAAGATCCCAAATTGTCGAATGTATGGGTTTGCTATTTTTAAGCTTCTATATAAATAATAGTTCACTCTTGTTTATTGGAAAAACATGGTACATACATGAATATAACAATAATAGAGCAATACCCATAATCATTAATTTTTGGCTTCCTGATGCTTTGAACAACCTTACTAAGGGTATCTGTAGCTTATCAAAGTACCAACATACTTGTAAGGAGAATGTGATGTTGTTATCAGGTTCTCAGTGTGAATTTGGTGTCGAGAACACTTCCCTAGCCATTCTCCTCTACCTATACATTTGACCAGATGACATGCTAGAGTGTGACATGACATTTGTGTTGTGCGTGACTATGCTAGGATATTTAAGACAGTGAAAACTCGTCATAGCTTCTCTACCCGCCCACCCCCCTTTTAAGAGATTCTTCAGTTGCCTTTTTTAGAATTTTTACCATGCTTTGTTTGAGTATTGGACATTGCTTTTAATCTATTTCAGGCTACAGAATGTTTACCCTGATCTGGCTTCTTAGCTTTATTGTTTCTGCTTTTATTTATTTATTTATTTATTTATTTATTTTGCTACAGCTGGTGGGGCATGGGCACTCAGTTTTGATTTGTTCTTTTTAAAGGCTACTGGTTGGAACCACAAGGTGAAAGCATTCACTCATTTTTCTATTATTACTGACCAGTTGAAGAGGTAAAGGGCTTCTTAGATCATCTCAAGGCAAGAGTGCTAACTAGTATAGAATCACTTGAGAGCCTCTAATCTTGAAATGGGATCACACAAATGGGATCAAGACCTGATATCCTGAGTTTCAAGCCTTGCTTTAATGGGTTCCCAATTCCAATTTATTTATTTGCTGTACTTATACCCCACCCCCTGTGGAAAGGGCAGGGTGAGCGGAGTCTTAGGGCAGCTTACAAACTATGGCAATAATTCAATGCCATACTCTGACAATAACAATAACACAATGTTAAAACTGTAAAAAAAAATATACAAATTAATTATAAATAATTTTTCAAATGATTGAAAACATTTTAAAAGTCTAGCACCAACTGAGCTTTGTTAACATTAAACCAATTTATGTCTCATTGATTGCCGCATTGCTATCACCATAGTTTCAAAGACAAACTATATTTTATATTTTACCAAAGCTGAGATGACCATAGACTGAAATGTGTTTCTATTAAGCTATTAAATTCTCTTAAACTGACTTAACCCACAAATCTCACTGTGAAGGAAGAATTACCACAAATCTGGTTTATTAAACCAAGCAATAGATAGCTGTCAATCTTCTTTTGATACAAAGCAAAAATATGATCATATTGTTGGATTGGGGAAGTGAGATCCAAGGTCAAATCTGATGCTAGAACCATGAAGGGAACAAATAGTGGAGGAAATCCACACATGAGAATTTCAATTCATTAGAGGAAAACTGGGCTTTAAATGTAAAAAAAATTGCCCAAGTTAGCAGGGTTGTTTTTTCAAAGATGTTTTTTTTCTGCTCCAAATCAACCCAGTGCATGAGGGTCCCAGAGCAGTAATAATTGCAAATATAGTCCATTTTTGTAAATGTGCATTAAAACTGTCAAACATCTAGTTAACAGATCACATACATATGTGCATAAATATGAATTTCAAGATGAAGTGACTAAGTAAATACAGAAATCTTTGCATATTCTTCATAGGTAGAATAAGAACATAGTCAATAACAAGATTGAAATATTTTAGGTGAGTAAGTGAAAAGACCAAGCGTGATCCCTGGGGAAGGCAATGGCAAACCACTCCAGTATCCTTGCCAAGAAAACTAAATGGACCAGTACAACCAGAGATATGTCGGTATGCCATTGGAAGATGGGACGCCCAGGTCGGAAGATGGCCAAAATGCTACTGGGGAGGAGCAGAGGATAAGTTCAACTAGCCCCAGATGTGATGACGCAGCTAGCTCAAAGCCGAAAGGAAGGCTAGCGGCCGACGGTACTGGAGGTGAACGACGAATCCGATGCTCTAAAGATCAACACACCATAGGAACCTGGAATGTAAGATCTATGAGCCAGGGCAAATTGGATGTTGTTATTGGTGAGATGTCAAGACTAAAGATAGACATTCTGGGGGTCAGCGAACTGAAATGGACTGGAATGGGCCACTTCACATCAAATGACCACCAGATCTACTACTGCGGACAAGAGGAACATCGAAGAAATGGAGTAGCCTTCATAATTAATAAGAAATTCGCTAAAGCGTGCTTGGATACAATCCAAAAAATGACAGAATGATCTCAATTCGAGTGCAAGGAAAGCCTTTCAACATTACAGTGATCCAAATATACGCCCCAACCACAGCTGCTGAAGAAGCAGAAGTAGATCAGTTCTATGAGGATCTGCAGGACCTACTGGATAATACACAAAAGAGACATTATTTTCATTACAGGAGACTGGAATGCCAAGGTGGGAAGTCAAATGACAACTGGGATCACAGGCAAGCATGGTCTGGGAGAACAAAATGAAGCGGGACGCAGGCTGATAGAATTTTGCCAGGAAAACTCGCTGTGTATAACGAATACTCTCTTCCAACAACCTAAAAGACGGCTTTATACATGGACCTCACCAGATGGTCAACACCAAAATCAGATTGACTACATCCTTTGCAGCCAAAGGTGGCGGACATCCATCCAGTCGGTGAAAACAAGACCTGGGGCTGACTGCAGCTCAGATCACGAACTTCTTATTGCCCAATTTAGAATAAAACTAAAGAGATCAGGGAAAATACACAGACCAGTTAGATATGATCTCACTAACATTCCTAGCGAATATACAGTGGAAGTGAAGAACAGATTTGAAGGACTAGATTTAGTAAACAGAGTCCCAGAAGAACTATGGACAGAAGTCCGCGACATTGTTCAGGAGGCGGCAACAAAGTACGTTCCCAAAGAAAAAGAAAACCAAGAAGGCAAAATGGTTGTCTGCTGAGACACTGGAAGTAGCCCAAGAAAGGAGGAAAGCAAAAGGAAACAGTGATAAGGGGAGATATGCCCAATTAAATGCGCAATTCCAGAGGTTAGCCAGAAGAGATAAGCTACTATCTTTAAACAAGCAATGCATGGAAGTGGAAGAAGACAACACAGTAGGAAGAACCAGAGACCTCTTCCAGAAAATGAGAAACACTGGAGGTAAATTTCAGGCAAAAATTGGCATGATAAGAAACAAAGATGGCAGGACCTAACAGAAGCTGAAGAGATCAAGAGAAGGTGGCGAGACTATACAGAAGATCTGTATAGGAAGGATAATAATATTGAGGATAGTTTGATGGTGTGGTGAATGAATTAGAACCAGACATCCTGAGGAGTGAGGTTGAATGGGCCTTAAGAAGCATTGCTAACAACAAGGCAGCAGGAGACGACGGGATCCCAGCTGAACTGTTTAAAATCTTAAAAGATGATGCTGTCAAGGTGATGCATGCCATTTGCCAGCAAATATGGAAAACACAAGAATGGCCATCAAACTGGAAAAAATCAACTTATATCCCCATACCAAAAAAGGGAAATGCGAAAGACTGCTCAAACTTCCGTACAGTGGCCCTTATTTCTCATGCCAGTAAGGTAATGCTCAAGATCCTGCAAGGAAGACTCCAGCAATACATGGAGAGAGAGTTGCCAGATGTTCAAGCTGGGTTTAGAAAAGGCAGAGGAACGAGAGACCAAATTGCCAATATCCGCTGGATAATGGAGAAAGGCAGGGAGTTTCAGAAAAACATCTACTTCTGCTTCATTGACTATTCTAAAGCCTTTGACTGTGTGGATCATAATAAATTGTGGCAAGTTCTTAGTGGGATGGGCATACCAAGCCACCTTGTCTCTCTCCTGAGGAATCTGTACAAGGACCAAGTAGCAACAGTAAGAACTGACCACGGAACAACAGACTGGTTCAAGATTGGGAAAGGCGTACGGCAAGGCTGCATCCTCTCACCCAACCTTTTTAACTTGTATGCAGAACACATCATGTGATGTGCGGGGCTGGATGAATGCAAAGCTGGGGTGAAAATTGCTGGAAGAAACATTAACAACCTCAGATATGCAGATGACACCACTCTGATGGCCGAAAGCGAGGAGGAGCTGAGGAGCCTTCTAATCAAGGTGAAAGAAGAAAGCGCAAAAGCTGGGTTGCAGCTAAACGTCAAAAAAACAAACAAACAAACAAACCAAGATTATGGCAACAAGAATGATTGACAACTGGAAAATAGAGGGAGAAAATGTGGAGGCCGTGACAGACTTTGTATTTCTAGGGCAAAGATTACTGCAGATGCAGACTGTGGCCAGGAAATCAGAAGACGCTTACTTCTTGGGAGGAGAGCAATGTCCAGTCTCGATAAAATAGTAAAGAGTAGAGACATCAGACTGGCAACAAAGATCCGCCTAGTCAAAGCCATGGTATTCCCTGTAGTAACCTACGGATGGGAGAGCTGGACCTTAGGGAAGGCTGAGCGAAGGAAGATCGATGCTTTTGAGCTGTGGTGTTGGAGGAAAGTGCTGAGAGTGCCTTGGACTGCGAGAAGATCCAACCAGTCCATCCTCCAGGAAATAAAGCCCGGCTGCTCACTGGAGGGAAGGATACTAGAGACAAAGTTGAAGTATTTTGGCCACATCATGAGGAAACAGCAAAGCCTAGAGAAGACAATTATGCTGGGAAAGTGGAAGGCAAAAGGAAGAGGGGCCGACCAAGGGCAAGATGGATGGATGGCATCCTTGAAGTGACTGGACTGACCTTGAAGGAGCTGGGGGTGGTAACGGCCGACAGGGAGCTCTGGCGTGGGCTGGTCCATGAGGTCACGAAGAGTCGGAGACGACTGAACGAATGAACAACAACAAAGTGGAAAGGACAGCTTAGAAAGGGGCCAAATTGTCCTCTTCACCAATTTGAGGTACTCTTCATCTATCGCAAGGCCCTAAATTTGAAACTTTTCACCCTGAGGCTGTCACACTGTTAATCTTTGTAAGCTGCTATGGGGGCATGTGAGAGGGTCCAGCATCCTTCATGGGCAGGGGGGCATCATAAGCATGGTCATCTATTCTGTCAGCTGTTTTTGACAAACCAGATTCAGACAGCTCTTCAGAATACTCCCAGTAGCTCCTTTATTTCACAGACCATGACAAGTCAAATCTAAGGCAACTCCCTGTTCTGCTTCTACTCCCCCTCTTATCTCCCTTCCTTCAATCCCCCTCCCTCCTTCCAATTATTCCACATGTACTTTGGTACTTGCTTTGATTCAGCATCCTTGGATCTTGCTGGTGTTTTAAAGAACATCTTCTTTCCAACTCTTGGGCGGGACTCTCCACTGTCTCCCCCTTACAGGGCCTATTGGCTATAAATAAATAGATTTATGATGTTGGTCTGCCTTATAGTTCTCTTGGTTGAGTCTGTACAGCTCTGTCTAGTTATGGAGAAAGGGGAAGAATGATGACTGATGTCCTTTTGGAAAAGACCCTTTGTTTAATGTGGGATGTAGAGGAAGACAAAAACACATATGTCTAAGCAGAAAACTTCCACTGAATTTATATTTCCTTTATAAAAGAAAGGGCATATCTTATACACTAAGAGGCAAATCTCAATCCATTCCATTCTGATTATCCTGTTTGTAATGGTTGCTTGTGACAAAGAGAAGGGGACAGCTGCACTTGCAGCATGTTTAAATTGTGTCTGTTTACAGTGACAGACAAGTGAGACAGCAGACATAAGGTTTTATGGGGAAATGTATTTGTTAGTCTTTTTTTATAATTCTGCACTCAGGCATTGTGAAAGAAAGCTGAAAAGGCTCTTAGAACTTACAGGGAGGAAGATAGATAGTCAGGATGCAAAAATAGATCTGGGAAATTTTTCAAAGACTTTCCTGAAAGTGAAGAAGAAACTTTCCTGGTCAGATAGATAAAGTCAACACTATTCACTTTCCCTGGAAAATACTACTTTAATTTATTTGTAGTTGAAAGGAAGAAAATCTAAATCTGCAAATATTTTAATGCTACATCTTGACATAAGATTTTGATTGCTTTTTAAAAAGTGTGTTGAAAGCATAATAGGATAGAGGTAATATTTTTAAATGGCTTCTAAATTCATTTTCTATTGTGTAAGTAATAAAATGCAGTCGGAGATTTATATACATTTAAATTGATGCAGCTATGTGTTTTATAAATGTATTCCAGGTTTATCAATAGATTATGCAGAGAATAAGCTCTATTGGATCAGTTCAGGAAATGGAACTATTAACCGATGCAGCTTGGATGGTGGCAATTTTGAAGTAATAGATTCAATGAAAGAAGAATTAACAAAAGCTACAGCCTTAACCATTATGGGTAAGTAAACATTTAAGTAAGCATGTTTGATAATAAGCATTTTATTCTCCTGGTACAGAAGTCTATCACCGAAGCTTATGAGAAATGTGCCATAGTTATTCCTTGTTCCATAATACAGTTATTTACTAGTACATTACAACCTGTACTAAACAATTGATTTTAAAGTAAATATAATCTGATTATGTTCCAGCATGGAATGCTTAATGCTTGCTGTGTATATGTTGTGCTCCACCCTGAATCCCCTTCAGGGTGAGAAGGGCGGAATATAAATGTTTCAAATAATAATAATCTCCTTCTCCAATGAATTCAATATGTATAATTTTACTTACCCATTCTCAAAAAAATATTTCTCCAAGATCTACCTGCGTACCTCTGTACTTCCTCCAGCTGAATTCTATGATATGCTTCAATCACAAGTATAGTCAAAATACAGGTTTGAAATTATCCATGGTTTCAGTTATCCAAGAGGGGGGGGAGGTTTGTGTTCTCCATGGATATCGAGATCATACTGCTACATATATATATAGGCAGCATCTTACTTTCTATTTTATGTAATTTTGTTTTGCATTTTATGTTAATTTGAAATTAATTTGTTTTATGCATAAGCTCTTATCAATGTTTATTATACAATTATTCTGTGTCACTAGAAACTTGAGGAGTTCTGTAATTAAAGCTAAATGGCTATCTCCTAGCACCAAAGGGCAATGCAGTTTCCCATTTCTAGATTAGTATTGAAATTTTTCCATATCTCCTTCTTAGGGAACAAATCATGCATAAGTAAATTGCTATAATTACTAGTTTATGGCTCATGCAGATGTTACATGGCTCATCCATTAATCCTAATTAAGATACCAATGGTAGAAGCTCTGGTTGTGACTTTTTTGGGGGATTTCTTTGATATAAGAATTGTAGTGAATCAAGAGAGAATTGATAAAATGGTTTTTGAGAAATCAGGGCACAGATTTCTTACTAAGAAAGAATAATATCCTTCAAATGCACTTAAAACTCATTAGATGGCCAGGTTAATTGGAATGTATTTAGTAACCAAAGCTAGGCCTTAAGCTAGATGTACCTTAACCAAGAGAGCTGAGGGAAGAAATGTTTGAACCGCAAGAATGTCCCTAATATGGGTTATTCAGGTAAGGTGGGTTTAGATTTTTAAGAAATAAACACTTGGGATTTATAAAAGAAGAATTTGGGATTTTAAAATCCTAAATCAAGTGTTTAGAAAATAATATTTTAGCAGGTATAAATTATAGTGTATTGTCCTTTTTGTTCTTATATTAGGACCCACAGTGAAATATTGTAATACACCATTGGAATACTCCCCCAGTCATAACTAACTTCCAGATATATTTAAAAGACCATCACTAGTGCAAGATAAGAAGCTATTATTTTCTTCCAGTTTGAATTATGCAGGATAAATAAAAATATGCACAAAAATAATCACACTGTGAAAAATCATACAGTTATGTAATTATTAAAGATAATTTTGAGAGATACATTGTTTGAATTCAGTTTTCACAGAACAGTAGTAGAAACTGTCAGTTAATATTTCCATTAATTTTACAATCCTAAACATCTTTGCTGGGAGTAAATTTCATCATAACTTCCATTTTGGATGCTGGTGTAAACAGTTGAGCCACTTCCTATCCAAAAGTGGCTGTGGTTTATCCGCACAGCCACCCTACTTTCCCTGGATTTGTGCAGTCCATGAACAAGAACTAGTACTTACATTCTTTCTGTTGTCCTGGACTTTGTGGTGATCACTGGGTCATTGTTCAGTGCCTGCAATGATGCCAACTGGAGTGATAATCTGAGACGGGTACAGCAAATAGAGTGATTCCTCCTTTCCCTCCTCTTTTCTTATAATGTTACTTTGTCATCTGGCTAGTGTCACTACAGGCACTGAGTAATGACCATGACCACTTTTGGCCACGTTTGTGTTCTGCAAAGCCCAGAATGACAAAGAGAATAGGAGAATGGCAGTCCAGCAGCACCAACATAGTTCTAGCACCACTGGCTCATCCAGCTGCCGAGCCAGCTCAGTGCCATGCAGTGTGGACGCCTTCCAGCTTTGGAGCCAAACAGACTTTGCTGATGCTGATGTAGAATATGCTAACTGAATCAGCATCACAATTTCTGGCATGTTTAGATGTGTAAAATATTCCTTTATCCAACGCTATGCACATCATCAGCACCATCATCATCATCTTGCAAAGGATAACGGATGTAGTAGAATACCATTGGTTTGTTTAGCCTGGCACTTTTATAGAACCACATTTTTAAAAAAGAAAAAGCTAGTTCCCGTTAATGTTTGTGCTATTCATTACATTTGTGGGTTCAGTGATGTTGCTTATTCTACACTACTATCAGTTGAAGAGACATGTAGACAATCCCTGATACTTAGAGGAATATGTGCCTCTATTTTTATCCCCAAGCACCTTACTTAACATCTGCTTCCTCCTTGTCTACAGTCTTATAGGATCCCCTATTTACATGTTTAGTTTAATTTTACACTGAGATGTTGAATCATTAGTTGCCATTCATTAACAAAGTTACCAAATAGTACTCCTCTTAATAATACAGTTATTTTCTCCATTATTAGTAAATCTGTAATATATTTTTCTAAAGAAGGTATCTCTGGGGTTTTCCAATATCTGGCATATACTATTCGAGCTGCCACTATCATGGAAAACAACATTTTTCCAAATTTCCTTTCTAATTCTTTCTTTGGGCATGTTCAAAAGGTATATTTGTGGTGTCATTTTGAAATTTGTGTTTAACATCTTTTCAAGGTATACATGAATCTGTTTCCAGTAGTTGTTTACTTTGCTGCAAGTCCACTACGTGTGGCATAATGTATCTTTTTCTTTCCCACACTTCCAACATTTGTCGGAGCAATTATACATTTTTGTTAGTCTCTCTGGAGGGAGATATCATTGCAGGTGCATTTTGTAAACATTTTCTTTTAGGTTTTGACATGCAGTGTATTTCATTTTTCTCTTCCATGTCTTTTCCCATTGGGTCATTTTTATCTCTTGGCCTATGTTTTGAGCCCATCTAACCATCGAGTCTTTTACTACTTCCTCTTCCATGTGCCAAGTGAGTAGATTTTTGTATATGTATGATATAAGTCCTTTTGGTTTCTGGAACATTGTCTCATCAAACCATGTTTTCACAGTTTGGAAGCCCAAGGTTCTAAGTTGTTCTTTAAATTTCTCCCACAGTTGCCGATATAGAAGCCAATTGCATTTAAGGTCCATTTGGTTCAATTCTTCTAGGGATTTCATTTCTGGGTTTTGTAAATTGGTCTGGATCAGCTCCTTGTAGGTTAGCCATTTCCCTTGAAAGATGTTCTCCCTTTTGTAATATGTCTCATGTGGGGACATCCACTCTGGTGTCTTTGTGTAAATTCTTTTTTTTTTTGTATCTATTCCAAGAGTTTAGAATTGGTCTCTGTATATAATGGTCATTAAATATGCTGTTGGTTTGGCCTTTTGTATGTCCAAATATACATACCATCCAAATGGAAGATTTATGCCTTCTAAATCTAGTAGCTCATTGACTTCTAGAGTCACCCATTTTTCAATCCAGTCGAAGCAGCACACGTGAAAATAGAGTTGTAAATTTGGAAGAGAAAGGCCGCCTCTTGTTTTATTATCATTAAGTATCTTCATTTTTACTCTTGGTTTTTCTCAGCCCAGATAAATTTTGAGATATCTTTTTGCCAAATTTTGAAAAAAAATCATTGCTGATTATTGATATGTTTTGGAACAAATATAACATTTTCAGTAATGGATGATATACTTTCTAATGGGGAGAGCTCTTGTTTGTCCCATTCATCTAGATCTTTATTAATCTCTCTCCACACCCTTTCATTGTTATTTTTAATAACTCTGAATTCTTAGTTTAATGTATATTCCTAAGTATTTGATTTTCTGTGTAATACTGTATTCAGTATTTTCTTTTAATTCTTGTTTTTCCAATTCTGTCAGGTTTTTTGTTAAAAATTGTCTTTTCCCTTTGTTTACCTTTAACCTAGCTAATTCTGAGAAGTTTGTCAGGGTATTATTTACTTCTTTCTTTGAGTCATTGGGGTTTTCCAAAGTCAGGACAATATTGTCAGCAAAAGTTTGAATCTTGTAGTCTTTGCTTCTGCCCAGACACCCTTTATCTCTTTGTTCCCATTTATTTATTTTTTTATAAACATCTCTATGCACATAATAAACAGGAGTGGCAATAATGGACAGCCTTGTCTGGTACCACGTCTTATTTCAATTCTTTGTGTTTTTTCCCCATTGATTATCAACTGTGCATATTGATCTTTGTATATAATTCTTATTATTGTTATATATTGGTCTCTCATATCATGTGCTTGCAGAATTCCATCATAAAGTCCCAGTTTAAACTGTCGAACACTTCTATATGTCTAGAAAGAGTATTGCTAATTTCCTGCTGGGATATTTGTCAAATAGTTCAATTATATTGATAAGGCATCTTGTGTTCTGATTGATTTGTCTATTCTATAAAAAGGCAGCTTGGTCTTTTGAGATTATTCTCTTTAGAATATTTTTCAATCTGCTTGCTAGGATAGACATGAAAAGTTTACAGTTTCCATTAAAGGGTGATATAAGTCTGTAGTTCTTTGGTTGTAGAGGGCCTCTATCTTCCTTTGGGTCCATCTGTTTCAAAATCCTATATTTAGTCTGGTGTTAGGAATGTTTCCTTTACGACACAATATGAGTTGGCTTTCTATTACCACAACTAATGGTGATATAAATTATAAACAATGGCAGGTAATACTCTTAGGTGAATGCTTAAGATCTGTGGTTGAGTTGGTTGTTTCTGTATAGGATTAGCACTGTTTGTAAAATTGATTTTTAGTAAGGATGTGTATTGATATTGTGGATGGTGCCTCTGTTTCATTAATTGTGGGCAGAAGAAGGCATGGCAGGATGATATACTCACCAACATTTCACAGATGAAAACTGGGATGC